ATGCACTATATCTGGGTGAAAATGTCTAGGAGGCCCTCTTCAAATTCCCCTTCTGATTTTATGGCAGGGGATGGTGGGGAGACTTGCGCAGCCTCCTGCTGCATTGGCTAACATGGAGCTGTTTTTAAAATGGCTTGATGTGGCGAAGATGGGCAGTGACAACGAGTAAGAGAGGATATTGGGTAGGGTGGCAGAGAAGAGGAATAGTGGCTGTGTGGAGAGAAAGAGATAAGGAGAGAAGATTTGAGAAGGCACCTGTAAGAAGCACTGTGTCTCCACTTACACCCCTTCTGACAGCACCACAGGAATCCACCATTTCCCAGCACTCCCCATTAAATTCCAGGCTAAAACCAATTCCATGTCACACTCAAAGAGCAGCTGCATTTTTCATGAGCTTGACAACTCTGAACCAAATGAGTCTTTCCTAAACAGCAGGGATTGTGGGTCCTCTGTTCTCTGCTGCTGGCAACAGTCGCTAAGCAAATGAGGGCAGAGCAGAGCGGATCTGAGAGGCTGTCATGTTCTTGCAGTTGGATGACGAGAGCCCTGCTCCTCCTCTGCCCCCTGCCCTCTCCCGGGAGGCTGAAGCGAGCTTTTCACACCCCACAGCCTGGGGAGCAGCGCCATGCCAGAATCACTGACACATACATGCTTGCAAACAGCCCAAGACATCGGACTCCACTTCAGGCTGGAGTTAGTGTGCGCACCGTGGCTATGTGTATCCCAGGTGGTACAGTCGCAACAGGAATTTTAAGAAGAAAAGGTTTTAAGAAGCCCTTTGTAGGGAGCACGGCAAAGGAACAGCCACCTCATCAGAGAGCTTGTTGCAACAGAGAGCAGGTGTTTGAGAAGGAATGGGCAAAGACGTCAGGAGGAGGAATCTCGTGGTCCTCCTGCTATGGCATAAATTGTCATGTAAATGTGAACACCTGCCTGGTGAAATAATGGCCATTTTCATAAATTATGCAGCAGCATAAAGTTTGGACAGAAATTTCTTCCTTTTCTAGCATTGTTGTTCATAGTTTTTTTAAAAATATTTTTATTAAAGTTTTCTTGGTTTCATAGTTGTCTCCTTTTCATCTTTGGCAATAATAATAATAATAATAATAATAATAATAATAATAATAATAATTTTATTATTTATACCCTACCATCTGGCTGGGTTTCCCCAGCTACTCTGGGTAGCCTACAGCACACACAAAAATGTAAAACCTTCAACATTAACAATTTCCCGATACAGGCTTGTTTTCAGATGTCTCCTAAAAGTCAGATAGTTGTTTCTTTCCTTGACATCTGATGGGAGGGTGTTCTACAGGGCGGGTGCCACTACCAAGAAGGCCCTCTGCCTGGTTCCCTGTAACCTCACTTCTCATAGTAAGGGAACCACCAGAAGGCCCTCAGCACTGGACCTCACTGGACGATGGGTGTGGAGACACACTTTCAGGTATCCTCGACTAAAACCATTTAGGGCTTTAAAGGTCAGCACCAACACTTTGAATTGTGCTCGGAAATGTACTGTAAGTTGCTTTTGCAGGGCTTTGCAACAGCAGCTGCCAAAGGTGGATCAATAACTGGTTAAGGAACAGGAAGCAGAGGGTCACATGACTTGTTCATAAATGATCTAGAGTTGGGGGTGAACAGTGAGGTAGCCAGCAGGTATCCCATTAGCGATGGGCTCCCAAATTGTTCAGGTTAGTTAAAACAAAAAGGGGCGTCCAGAAGGATCTCTCCAAAGCAGGTGAATGTGCGCTGGAATGACAAATGTGGTTCAATAGAAGCAAATGTAAAGAAGAAATAGTACAGTGGTACCTCTGGATACGAGCGGGATCCGTTCAGGAGCCCCGTTCGCATCCTGCAGTAAACGTAACATGCGACTGCACGTCTGCGGGTTGCGTTTCACTGCTTCCACGCATGCGTGTGACGTTATTTTGAGCGCATGCGCAAGCAGCAAAACCTGGAAGTAACACGCTCCATTACTTCCAGGTCGCCACGGAGCGCAACCTAAAAATACTTAACTTGAAGCTACTTCAACCCAAGGTATGACTGTAGTATCAAATTTATATCCCTCCCTTCCTGGTTTAAAAACCGGGCTCAGGGTGGCTAACAGCAAATATAAAACATTGATTAAAATGTGACTTAAAAGCAGCATAGAATACAACATAAAATGCAGCATCAATATCAATAAAATTCAAAAATTCAGGGGTCATTTTTTTGGGGGGGAACCCCACTCAGTAGACATCGAATGATCACCAGGGCCAACTGGCCAAGGTGGTCCTACTAGGGCCAGTAGGAGGTGTGTGAATAAGAATTTAAATATGGGGTCCCAGAAAAGATTTCTTCATAGAAGAGGAAAGGGGAAAAGGGAAGAGAGGATCAGGCTAATTCAGACTGAAGGCCAGGCAGAATAGCTCTGTCTTACAGGCCCTGCGGAAGGAGATCAAGTCCTGCAGGGCCCTGGTCTCATGGACAGAGCATTCCACCAGGTTGGAGCCATCACTGAAAAAGCCCTGGCCCTGGTGGAGGGTAGTCTGGCTTCCTTAGGGCCTGAACTGGCAGTGACTGACCAGGAACAAGACCTTGGGGGTTGTGGATACCTCAGTTAAGACATTGACCTAGTGTGTGACATCCGTGAGACAGGCCAAGGGAAGAAATTTTAAATAAAACTTAGCTGAGTAAGGGGACGTAACAGGCAGGTATAAGATTATGCATGGTGTGTAGAAAGTGGATAGAGACGTATTTTTCTCTCTTTCTCACAATACTATAATCGGAAGACACCCAATGAAGCTGAATTAAGATTCAGGGCAGACCCTGGGTGGTGCTGAAGGTGGGCTGGCCTTGCCTCTCCTGCGGGGATGCATCCAGCCCACTGAGGGGCCAGTGAAGGGCAGTGGGTGTCAGTGTTGTCAGTGGCCTGCCTTCTAGCAGAGGAGGGTGAAGCAGCTCATTGCCACAATTATCATCACAAACAGATGAAGAACTGGCTACAGTTGGTAAAATTGTCTTTCTTCAAACAACTCTCTGCTCTGGTCAGACCTCACCTGGAGTACTGTGTCCAGTTCTGGGCACCACAGTTCAAGAAGGACACTGACAAACTGGAACGTGTCCAGAGGAGGGCAACCAAAATGGTTAAAGGCCTGGAAACGATGCCTTATGAGGAACGGCTAAGGGAGCTGGGCATGTTTAGCCTGGAGAAGAGGAGGTTAAGGGGTGATATGATAGCCATGTTCAAATATATAAAAGGATGTCACACAGAGGAGGGAGAAAGGTTGTTTTCTGCTGCTCCAGAGAAGCGGACACGGAGCAATGGATCCAAACTACAAGAAAGAAGATTCCACCTAAACATTAGGAAGAACTTCCTGACAGTAAGAGCTGTTCGACAGTGGAATTTGCTGCCAAGGAGTGTGGTGGAGTCTCCTTCTTTGGAGGTCTTTAAGCAGAGGCTTGACAACCATATGTCAGGAGTGCTCTGATGGTGTTTCCTGCTTGGCAGGGGGTTGGACTCGATGGCCCTTGTGGTCTCTTCCAACTCTATAATTCTATGATTCTATGATTCTAAGAATCAGGAGATTGTCAATATTTGCATTGATTCAATTTCTATTGGTCAAGGTATAATAAAAGCAAAACAAAATCAAAAAGTACAAATCACTCAACCAACCCCTAACCCCCACCTAAGAGATTTCATGGTGTTCTGCTTTATTAATACAGTGGTACCTCGGGTTACATATGCTTCAGGTTACATACGCTTCAGGTTACAGACTCCGCTAACCCAGAAATATTACCTCAGGTTAAGAACTTTGCTTCAGGATGAGAACAGAAATCGTGCAGCGACGGCACAGCGGCAGCAGGAGGCCCCATTAGCTAAAGTGGTGCTTCAGGTTAAGAACAGTTTCTTTTTTTTTTTTATAAATGATATTTATTAAAGATACATGAAAGTACAGAATAAAGAAAAAGTATAAAGTTTTAAGATATAACAAAAACAGTAAAAAATAAGGGAAAAAAAACATACAAAATAAAACAGTTAAAAACACAATAATGTTCCATAGCCTATCTTCCTTACTCTTATTTCCCCGGACCTCCTCATACCTCCCTTCTTTGTATTCCAATTCAATTTGTTGGTTCAGCAAATCCTTACCATTAATCTTTTACCCAATTGTTAACCTTTTTTCCATGTCTCTTAAAGCATTACAGCTAAAACCTCTTAGTTTCTATCCAACATCCTTCTAAAGTTCCTTAATTTTGCAATATTTCTGTAAATAGTCCTTAAATTTCTTCCAGTCTTCTTTCACCGACTCTTCTCCCTGGTCTCGGATTCTGCCAGTCATTTCCGCCAGTTCCATGTAGTCAATCACCTTCATCTGCCATTCTTCCAAAGTGGGTAGATCTTGTGTCTTCCAATACTTTGCGATAAGTATTCTTGCTGCTGTTGTAGCATACATGAAAAAGGTTCTGTCCTTCTTTGGCACCAGTTGGCCGACAATGCCCCAGGTTAAGAACAGTTTCAGGTTAAGAACAGACCTCCAGAACGAATTAAGTTCTTAACCCGAGGTACCACTGTACTATGAATAGAAGACTCATCTCTTTGTGTTTCAATTAGGGCTTTTCCTGACATAAGGTGTTGCTAATTTGGACTTATTGGCTAACTTAAGAAACAGTGTTGCTCAGATACAATGAACAAGGAATTGTAAAGTAATTTTACAACTGAGCACAACTCAAGTTATTTTGGCCAACTTACAACAGGTTGCAAAGTTTGCAGGGGAGCTCTTGCTGCACTGCGGTCGTTTTGATCAAACAAGCACAGCTACTTGTACTTATAGTTACAAGTAAAGCTGAAACTGACAGAAAGAATGGTGAAGTCTGAAGAACATTTATAAAGCTGAACAGAAGGAGATCAGTTCCCGCATGCGGTATTTTATTACAGAGCAAAGAGGCAGCTTTAGCTACTCCCATCCCAACAATGTTACTCCAAATGCATCCCATTAATTTTGTCTCATACAGTGGTACCTCGGGTTACATACGCTTCAGGTTACAGACTCCACTAACCCAGAAATAGTACCTCAGGTTAAGAACTTTGCTTCAGGATGAGAACAGAAATTGTGCTCCGGCGGCACAGTGGCAGCAGGAGGCCCCATTAGCTAAAGTGGTGCTTCAGGTTAAGAACAGTTTCAGGTTAAGAACGGACCTCCGGAACGAATTAAATACTTAACCCGAGATACCACTGTATAAATAAAGAGCAGTTGGGAAAAGTGAGCAAAAGAATTCACAAGATGTTCCATTCCTGGTTTAGGAGCAAATGGTTATGGCGTTGGCACTTCTAATATCAAAAGTATTAAATGTATATGAATTTACATAGCAAATCCCCCACAACTATAACTTATAACACTCCACCATTGCATTTCTGACTGAATACCAGGTCTTGAATACCAGTGTGCTCATTTTGTGTAAGTCTGCGTAGTTTTATATATTTCTACTCGTAGAAATTATGATCCATAATATTATGTATTGGGAAATGTAGAGGTATAATGAACAGCATCACTGCATCAGTGCAATTTAACCCTTAAATGGGTAAGTGGGGTCATATTTACCCCATCCCTTCTCCATTTTTCTATATCACCATGGCAACCGCTTCTGTGCTGTTTTATGGAAGTGTTTAATGCAGCGTTTGGTATTAATGTACCAGATTTGGTACAAGTGTGACTACTAAAGCATGGAAATATTACTACTAGTCTACTACCACAGCTACCACTGCTTTTACTGCTACTAAATTATTAGTATATAATACTTTGTCTAACTGTCATTTTTTCATATATAAAGGTAAATCAGGTATCCAAAATGTATCTTCACAAATCAGGAGCTGAGAAAGGAAGAGACTAGAAAAATGAAAAAGGGGTTGACCAAAGCTTTCAATTTGAATTAATTGTGTCTTTAAAAAAATTAATTGAACTCATCTATAGAATTATAGCAAGAAGAAACTGTTGCAAACCTCATCCCCAGACAAGGAGCAGTTGACTTTGGTAATCATGCACAGATGAAGGGGCCGATGCAGAAAAAGGAAATACAAAAGAAAAAGAAACAGTCATACAGGCACATGTGGAAGTGAATTTGGAAGATGAGAGGAGTAATCCTAATGTAGACCTTGACCCTGGATGCATCACAACTGAGTTTCCATCTCAAAAGGAAATAGAAATATATATTATGGTCACATCCCTCTGCCTGAAACATTCCCAAAAGACACCTGCAATAAAGTTTTCCCAGAAAGCATACTGAAATTTCAGAGCACTAAGGAAGAACTATATATAAGAGTGGGGCTTGTCTGGAGTCAGGAGAAACAAACAAGCTTATATTGGCATGAGACAGTCAAGACTAGCACTTCTGCATCTAAGTCTGCTCTGGTATCTGCTGAAGACTGGAATTCTAAAGGGGAAGTGGTGGAAATTTTCCTACAGGATACCAAACATGGAAAGGGCAATGGCAATAGTCACAGAGAATGTTACTTAGCTTGGTGAAAACTAGAAAGATACTTGCTGTCTGGGACAGGAGTTGACATCATCTTAGAAGTATCAACCAAAATTGAAGCTGTGTAATGAACAACCTTTCGAAGTGCATCCTTGATGTCATATTCGTCTTGGGAGAATGTAGTCTAGCATTTACTGGTTCATCCCATCAAACTGGTGATTCAAACAATGGAAAGTTTTTAGGACTCATTGAACTGCTCTCCAGGTAGGTCCTCATCCTTCAGGAACATGTGCTAAGTGTAGAGGAGTCACAGAAAAGGAGTGAGCGGATTCAAGCTCATTACCTGTCCCCTGACTCACAAGATGGATTTATTGGAGAAGGCTCAGATATTGTGAAATAACACCAGTTGCTTGAGAGGCAATAGGCAAAGTACTTCACCATCTTCAGATATCCATAGGGCTGTCACATGAAAGATGCAGCCACCTTGTTTTCTCCGGAGGGTAGGACCCAAACCAACAGATTCAAGTTACAGGAAGGGAGATTCCAACTAAACATCAGGAAGAACTTTCTGGCAGTAACAACTGTTCAACAGTGGAACCAACTCCCACAAGAGGTGATAGAATCTCCTTCCTTGGGGGGGTTTAAGTAAAGGTTCGATGCTTTGTCTGTAATTCCTGTCTTGCAGGGGATTGGACTAGATGAACCTTTGGGTCCCTTCTAACTCTATAATTCTGTGATTCAATGAAAATATTCTGTTCAAACTAAGAGTGCTGGAAAACCTAGTAGATGGGCGAGGATGGTTGTTAAGAATGCTGTAGAAAATGGCATTTGTTTGAAATGTGGCTGTATCTAACATTTTCAGGGAAAGGTTGGCAATAAAAAGAACTATCTGAAACTTTTACGTGAGCCTGTAACGGTTCAGTTTTTATTCCAATTAATTAAAGATTGCACATTTTGTTCAAATAACACTGGCATAAACTCACTGACAAATAAGCAGACAAGCAGCCTTCCTGTCAAGCAGTTAATTTGGCTGGGGCCAAAATAGGGCTTTGGTATGCCACAGATGGTGGAATAAACTTCATTTCCTGACATAAATGCTCAGTTTTTAAGGTCTTATCAAAGACGCTGCAATTAGACGTGACCCGGCAACAATTTGATTCCTGCAGGAGTTTTTCGTTTGTTTTCTGGCCTTTGGGTCTGGCACAAACTGAGGGCCACTTCAAACGTTATACAGAAATCTCGTTTGCTACAGCTATGTGCAACACAGCTAAGAGTCCTGTAGCACCTTGAATACAAGCAGATTAATTATAGCATAAGCTTGTGTGGACTTCATCAGATGCATCAAGTAGTGTCCTCTGTTAGAATACTTTGCTGCTTGTATTTGAAACTTTTTATACTCAGGATTAAATAAACTCAGGATTAAAATACAGTCATACCTCATGTTAAGTTTGCTTCATGATACGTTTTTTCAGGTTGCGTCTTGCGGCGACCCGGAAGTACTGGAAAGGGTTACGTCCAGATTTCGTCACTCGCGCATGCGCACAAGAGCTAAATCACGCTTCGCGCATGCGCACAAGCGCCAGGTCGTGCCGCAACCTGTGCAGATACGGTGCTTCAGGTTGCGGGCTTTTCATGTTGCGAATGGGCTTCCAGAACGGATCCTGTTCGCAACCAGAGGTACCACTGTATTCACAAAAAACTCACTAAGATTGGACTTCAGCAAATGCTGTCTTCATCTTTAAATGCAAGTAACTATCAAGGTGTGTTTGTAGTTAACTGGTGATACCAAAAGAATAGCAATCATTGGCTCCTCATCAGCCTGGAGGGAAATGGCAAGACATAGAACCATAGAGCTGGAAGGACTCTGAGGGTCATGTAACCCAACCCGCTGCAATGCAAGTATCTCAACACATGGCACCCATCCGATTTGAAACCATACCAGACACAACTTAGCTTTGCAAATGTGCTAGTAGTTTTATTGCTGCAGCACTAGGAGGGTGTAAAGGAGTGAGGTGCCACAGAGTTCTGTCCTGGGCTGTCCTGGGCTGGCTGGACACAGAGGAGCGGTGGGAGGAACCAGCTGGAGACCCACCAAGGGAAGAAGGCTCAGATCCTGGGAAATGGTGGTGTGTGGAGGTGACGCTCAGCTTGTGCTGAGGCAAACCTCACACCAAGCATGCAACAGTGTGCCAAGGAGCATTGCGCCCACGCTCCCTGACCTTTTGCCTTCTTGGCTAGCAAACAGGGTTTTTCCCCTGCCCGTCTGTCCTCTCACAGATTTGGTTACTAGACATAACGCTTGGATGGAGCATGACTGGGGACACAGACATAATCAAGTATCGGGGAAAACATTTTAGGGAAACACCTGCTGACATGTGTATTTGCTAACACTGGAAATGTGCTTAGATGGAAATACGTCATGTTCAGAGTGGTTTCACTACTGTTTCCAATTGTTGACTTCTGCTAATAAAAGGAGCCTCTACAGAACTAGCTGGCAGCTTGCTTGGAGCATACTTGCCAGCGTGCTTCTGCACAGCTCACCTGCATTCAACCTCCCATCGTCCTCGTTATTCCTACAGTGGTGGGACAACAATGAGTGGTCAGTGGGAGAAGAGGGAGAAGACTGGGAAGAGAAGGTGTTGGAAGCTGAGGAGGTAACAGGGCTTAGTGAGCTGGACGGGGGGGGGGTGTCTGTGGCAGAGAGAAGTCCAGAATCAGAGGCAGAAGCTGGAGCAGGGGAGGTGGGAGGTGTCTCCCCTTCCTGCTGTGACAGGCTCCCCTCTCCCCTTGTCTCCCACAAACAGAAGAGGCATGAAAAGGGCAGAGGACAGGTTGGCTTCACGCAGGGGCAGTCTGATTGCTCACAAGAAGCCATGGAAAGGAGGAAATGTAGACAGCTGTGAGGAGCCAAGGACCTTCACTCTTGGCAAGTGATTGCATGGAATAGGACCTACAGAGGATGCAGGTCAAGTTCTGTGTTTGGGACATGCCACCGCCCTGGCGTCCAGCAGTGATCAGAGCACCAGAAGAGCAGCTACAGTGCTCAGGCAGTGGGCTCCTGGCTCTGAGCCTGATGCTAGTGACCAGTGGTCTACCGCATCACAGATTGGCAGGCAAAACCTGCCACCGTGTTGTGTGGTGTCTGAACCTACACCAGTGTCCACCAACCACATGTCTTCTTACACACACTCCAAAGATGTTTAGGAACTTTTCCTGGAGTTAAATGTGTATCCATTGTGTATTCCTACTCTTGACCTTATGCCCAGACTAAAGGAACATATATTGGTTTATTATTTGAATTAAAGGTGATATTGAGTATATGGATGCCACTTTCAGAGAGCAACGTTACAATATAAGTGGGAAGTAAATCGCAGGAGACGTATTTTGATCTTGAGAGTAAAAAGGATACCTAACCACCCCCAAAGCCTGGGTGGTAGGTATAACAATTTGCCACAGATTCACACTAAAAGTACTTGAGTGTCGGAGGAGAAGAGCATAGCTGTCCTGAAGTAATTGGAACCTAAGTCCAGGATCAGAGATCTGTGCCATTTAAGCTCTCCTAGCCAGTATCCTATACCCACCAGGCTACAGCTTCTCTCTCTCTCTCTCTCTCTCTTTTTTTTAAATGATATTTAATAAGGTTTCCAAAAAAAAGTTACATATATAGGAAAAAGAAAAATAGAAAAAAGAAAAAATACAAAATACAAAATACAGAAAAAATACAGCTTCTCTCTCTCATTCATTCCTTGTCTGTGATCCAGCGAAGCATAGCATTGTTTCTTAAGAGTGTAGAGGGCAAAGGGACTCCCCTTGGAGCTGTGAGCTACACAATGTTAAAAATCTGGGGTTTGAGTATTTTTTGGTCCTGCTAGCTAGGGGTGATGGAAGTTGTAGTCCAACAACAGCTGGAGACCCAAGTTTGAGTCTCCTTAGGGAGAAGGGGGGTCTCTCTGGGTGAGTGTCATAACTCTTCTTCTTTTCTTCCTTTGTTTACTTTCTTCAAGTTCCTATTTGCTATTTAGTTTAGCTTGCCCAGTTTGTAGGAGAAAGGACTAACTACTGTAGCTACCTTGTATATTTCCTGAATCATGACTTTGTCCTTGGAAGTAGATTCAATTGTCTGTGCAAATTTCCATTCTTTCCCACAAAAGGTGATAATACAATGGTACCTTGGGTTCTGAACTTAATTCATTCCGGAGGTCCGTTCTTAACCCAAAACCGTTCTTAACCTGAGGCGTGCTTTCGCTAATGGGGCCTCCCAACACCAACGCAGCGCGATTTCCATTCTCATCCTGGGGCAAAGTTTGTAACCCGAGGTACTACTTCTGGGTTAGCGGAGTTTGTAACCTGAAGCGCTTGTAACCCGAGGTGTTTGTAACCTGAGGTACCAACTGTACAGGATTAGTGCACTGGTCTTTAGGTATTATGTCAGAATATTTACTCATGTTCATGTTTAAGATAATTACCAGTGCCAGGGTTAAAACAGTTCATTGGGGACTGCATGCCGAGTTATGCCAAGTTAACTGATGCTATGATGTGTGGTACTAAACCACAGAAAAAGTTCAGACTGGCACCCATTGTTACAACAACAACACCATCCATAGAAGTAGAGTTGGGACGCTTGAAGGAATGGCTGACAGGGCCTTTTTTGTGGTGACTGTAGAATACCTTGCCACAAGAAGGTTACCCAGCTCCATTGCTTCTTACCTTTCAATGGCAAGCTTTGATCTCTCTTTTCGAGCCATATCATTTGAGACAGGGCTTTCACCGCTGCAGCTTCTGTACAGATGTTGATTTCTTAACTGTAGTTGTAGCTTAATTTTGCATTCCTCATGTTTGATTTATTGTTTTAATTTGTTCACCTTAAGTATTTAAAATAAAGGAGAAATAAAATGTTTAAAACACGGACACATCCTGTCCAGCACAGTGCCGTATTGTTTTCGTCACTTTCTCTGCCTGGGGGCCTTGTCACACACAGAAGATGAACCACCATGTAACAGCTTCCTTGTACACATACAGTTTGTTCTCACAAAATGATTGCCCAGAGGCAAATAGCCAAGTCGTCACATGATGCTTGGCAATTTACATGTCACCCTGGAGTAATTTGAATATATTTGCATAATTAATCTGGATTAAACAGAAACATTGCAGCATAACCCATTACATTACAGGAGCTAGCTCATCCACACTCTGCCTCACTGAACCAGAAAAAGATTAGTCCCTTAAGGTAGTTTTCATTCAGAGATAGGTGTGTGTGTGACAGAGAGAGGAGTGCCATTTTTCAGCCTCTTCGGAACAACACTCTGTTTCTCTTAAAGCCTCAATACTCAGTGCTCTGAAATTAATTTTAGCTTGTTTTAAACAGCATTTGTCATCACAAGGCAGATCAAGCCACACCTCATTCAGTACAGTCAAACCTCAGTTGTCGAATGTTCGGCTTCTGAAATGTTCAACAATCAAGGCGCAGCTTCCGATTGGTCGCAGAAGCTTCCTGCACTCAAGCGGAAGCTGCATCAGACGTTCGGCTTCTGAAAAACATTCGGAATCATTCAGGAGCCGAAACGTTTCCAAAACAGAAGCGTATTTATTTCATATGTATTCCACCCCTTCATCTGAGGCTCACAAGGCAGTTCACAGCATAAAAATAAAAAATGAGAGCACAAAATTCATAATGAAACAAACGAAAAGCAAACCAATAACCCCTCTCCTACAAACACCTTTAAAAGTCCATAGGATGTCAATCAGGCAAAAGCCTGGTTATAGAGACCTTCTTTCGCCTGGTCCGTCTCCTGCTGGGGCAGCCTTCATGCTCCTGGTTCAACAACCTGTTGCTTGCTAGTAATATCCTACCAGAGATTCTCTTTGAAGTGTCTTGTAGCTCTGGGCTTGATTTGACCCAGCAATGCTCCAGCATAATGGTTTTTTCCCCTTAATGTTTTTTTTTTTTTCAAATGTACTTATTTTTTAAACCATAAGACAACACAAGATGTCAGGGACTGGGCAGAGGAGGAATGGTGGAGACCACTTCCGCAGCTTGACCCTTCCAGAAAAGAGGAAGAGAGTTTAGATTTACAACAAGGGTTTGAGAGAGGTCACAGCTCAGAGGCAGATGAGGGGGAAAGCTGGGAAATCATGGGAGAACCAGAGCAACACTCAGCTGCCACATTGTCATTAGAAAGCATTCCAGACCCCCCATCTCCCAGAACCTGGCAAGCCTTAAAAGTTGGAGAGCAAAGAGCTCGAAGACAGAGGGCACGTAGCAGCACCCATAGAGGAGATGATGACAATGAAGAATGAGGATGTGGGAGAGATGGGGTGGTGGTGGAAATTCACTCAGGACAATCCCATTATCCAAGAGGCTAGGTTCTATAGCCTCTCTCTGTAAAGACTGTAAGAAACTTTTCCTTGTCTTTATACTTTCCTGGGCAACCAGCCGGGAGTCTCTGCTACCACCCTGACAAAAGGCAAGTGCCATCGCAGGACAGAGTACAGACAAAGTACCTATACAAGAATGAGATTCCTTGCCCCAGCAAGGAAACAGCAGGTGACAAGTGTCAAGCTCCACTTGGAAACCAGATGCATGTAGCACCTCCACAGCGACATCTGAGGTGGCAAGCAACTATGTCTCACATTTGTTCATTTAACTCAGGGGTTGTCAACCTGGTCCCTATGGCCCACTAGTGGGCGTTTCAGGATTCTAGGTGGGCGGTAGGGGGTTCTACGGCACAAGCTGAATCCTCCTTCCATCGAGCACTGGTGGGCGGTAAGGAAATTTTACCATCAAGAAAGATGCATTTGTGGGCGGTAGGTATGAAAAGGTTGACTGCCCCTGATTTAACTGATTCATGGAAACCCAACCTTATCAAACCAATCATATTTTGCAGCACCTTGTTTTTTCGACAGGGAGAGAGTGTTTGCTGCTTTAAGATCAATGTTATTAAATTGCCTGTCCTTGGGGAATCATAGAGTTGGAAGGGACCATGAGGGTCATCTATTCTAACCCCCTGCAATTCCCAGTGTGGACCTCAAACCCACAACTCTGAGATTAAGAGTCTCGTGTTCTAGTGAGCCATCTTATCGCCGCTCTTATTAATTAATTAATTTCTCCCAAACTGGGATTCAAGGTTTACAAATCTTTAAAAGATGACAATAAAACACAAAGTAATAAAATCAATACAGTAAGCCCACAAGTTATGTGCATTTTACTTGTGCACATTCAGCTTTATGCACTTGGAAAAATTATAGATATATATATATTAAGAAGGAGACAGGCATCTGGGGAAAAAGATTTTGGCAATCCCACCCACCATTGAACCCAATGTGTTTTAACTATACACAGTTTTGGCTTTGGACTCAGTTCGAGGAACATATACTGCATCTAAATTATGGGCTTACTGTAGCCAAAATACATTAAAGCACATTTAAAACCAGCATTAAAATCCAGTCCGGTGGTTAGCATCACCTGCACCTTATCTTTCAAAGGCTGGGCTGTGCAAGAAGGTCTCAGCCTGCCAGCAGAAGGACACCACAGAGGGAAGCCCATCTAGTCTCTCTTGGGAGGGGATTCCACCATCTGGGGGCAGCCAATTCCCATGTGAGGGAAACAAGACAGGATGAGAAGCTTTCTACTGAACTGTGAAACCAAACTAGCAGAATAAAATGCAACCCTAATCCCACATATCTGGAAGTAAATTGCCTTGAATTCAGTGGGGCTTCTGAGTAGGCATGGTTAGCGTCTCAGCCATAGATGGGTCTTTAAACTCTCTCTTGCTTTTGCTGCAAAAGACTACTTGGGCTGCCCCTCTGGGAATTCCTTAACTTTGCATAACCCACACAGAAAGTGATTTATTTGTAAACATTTCTTGATGGCCGAGATATGTTGCACTACAATGTGTGTGATCTGCATCAGCTGGTGATGAAATGGAAGAAATAATTGTGCGAAATAAACCAATTGCCGCTGAATGAAAAATGCCATATGAACGTGTGAATGGATGTCGGGGATGTTTGTGGCTTGCTTGGGCATCCCTGTCTCTTGACTATCAGGCTGCATCCTGGACTGCAAATGTGGTGGCCTGGGAATCTGATTCAGAATCTGAGGAGTCCCAGCCTACACAGGAGTCCCCGCCTCCAGGGCCGGCTGAGCCAGGGCAGGGCCTTGAATCTGAAGAGCCTGCACCTGTGCCGGGTCCTTAGGAGCAGACACCAGATGTATCCACTCTGGCTCCGGAGGTGATTGAGGACCCCTTGCCTGCAGGTGCGCCTCTCCCAGCCCTGTCAGGGGAAGGTGAAGCTGCTCCTGGGTCCAGTAACCCTCCAGCCTCTCCTGAGCTGCAGGGGCTCAGGGCAGAGAGGCAGAGGGAACTAAGCTCTCAGGAGGAGTGCTCGCCTTAAAGCCAGGAGAGGCAGGTCACCTGTGGGCCGGGACTGCCCCTGGCCTCAGAGAAGATAAAGGCCAGTCAGCCCAGTCCCAGGTTGCGGGAGCAATGACGTTGGAAACCTGTTTCTGCCGGCACCCAGACCTGTTCTTCCAGAGTTCCCGACCACGCCCGGCTTCTTGCTTTGGACCCTGCTTCCCCCTTGGTGGACAGTCTCCAGACCCTCGGCCCAGGACTGGACTTTGACCACGCCTCACGGTAACCTCCCCCCCCCCGGACCAGCACAGCAAGGCACATCTAGGCTTTCCCAGTTAATGTCTACTCCAGCATGCTAGCACAGCATACATCCTTCCATACTCCTTTTGAATTTGGAGGGCTCCTCTTGGAGACACTTCTGTCAATCTCCTGTTCCCTGACCAATCAGCTCTCTGCCAATCTCAGTCCAAAAATACAGCTATAGCCAGGAGGTCTGACTCATGTGTCTCCTGGCAGAAATAACACATGGCAATAAGTTTTAATCTTAAAAGAGCTATTGGCCCTTAGCCCTGTTTGTGCAGTAGAAGAAGAAGAGAAGAGTTTGGATTTGATATCCCTCTTTATCACTACCCGAAGGAGTCTCAAAGCGGCTAACATTCTCCTTTCCCTTCCTCCACCACAACAAACACTCTGTGAAGTGAGTGAGGCTGAGAGACTTCGGAGAAGTGTGACTAGCCTAAGGTCACCCAGCAGCTGCATGTGGAGGAGCGGAGACGCGAACCTGGTTCACCAGATTACGAGTCTATTGCTCTTAACCACTACACCACACTGGCAGTTTTCCAGCCCTCCTGTTCTCATGCTGGCAATGAATCTATCCTCAGCAGGTTGACCTGCGAGCCAATGTGTCTGCTCTGAGCCTGCTCAGAGCTGCTTCCTTGAAGGAGAGGCCTTCAAACCCCTCTCAGCACCATCTTTGCAGCTAGCCAGGAGCAGGGCGGGGCTGCTAGTTTGAGCAGCTTGTTTCTCATGGATATTTTTGGGAGCTAGCGATGGTACGAGTCTCTATTTTTAATCAGTTGCATTTAGTTTTGTGAACTGGGGAGGGGCAATGGTGGCAGCTTCTGTTTGTGTTGCAACTTCCAACACTTTTGTGTTGTGAGAGCTGTAGGGTTTGTGTGTGTCGTTAGGTTTGAGAGAAGCCTGAAGGTTTTGCCTTCCTGTTTTCCTTTAGGTTTAAAAATTCTCCATCTGCCTGTGTGCCGTATTTAAGTTTGGAGATGCAGGTATAAATGTGTGTCTGTGTGTTTGAGGGAAGCATGGAGGCTTTGCATTTCTGTTTATATTTAGGTTTTTTAAATGCTGTGTGTATGTGTGTGTGTGTTTTAAGTTGGTGACTGTGAAAACAGAATGCCTCTTGTGAAATCACCCTATTAAATACAAACAGAGTTTCCTCATTGATGAGGCAGGTACACGCTGTCCATACTTGCACCATTTATTTCTGGGGCGCACTGTTCCTAACCTGTCTCCCCTGCTCAAGTCTGTGGGAGGAGGCTGTGGTTTGTGAGGTGGTTCTGTTAACAGATAACTCCCCTTAGGCTGCATCACACTTTGACTGGGTAGAATGCTGCCAGCACATTTTCCTTCTTCAGCCAGTTGGCAGGAACCTCCTCGCCTTTATACCTTTAAAAAGCAAGCACACCAGAGGACCTGGAGACCTAACTGTAAAATCCTCCTCTCGGTCACTGGTTCATGGTGTTGTGTTGGGCACAGTACCCTGGCATCCTTTCCATCAAAGGGATAGTGAACTAGCCACGGCTTACAGCAGAAATGAAACAAAAGTCGAGCGGCGTATTAGAGGCTAGCAAATATGTTATTCTGTAAACCTTCATGTCTTACCAAGAATGATGCATCTGATCTATCCAAAACATTTATGCCACAGTAAATTTGTTACCTTTCAAGGTGCCAGTGCTGTTCTTTTGGCTATTTATTTATTTATTTTTTTAAAAAAATTACAGGGTTGTGAAGAGAAAAAAGACTATAAAACACTTTGGCAAATTTAAATTGCTATTATATATATTGGAGAATGGTGCCAGGGATGGATCAGATGAGAATTTAGTGTGCAGAGCCTCTGTGTCTGATGGGAGCAAGGCTTGCACCTTGCCTGCATCCCACCTCAGGCAAGCCTTTCCCAGTAGACAGCCACACATTGGATTTGCTGTGGACCTACATGCAGAAGTCAGTGTTTGTAGGCCTGAACATGCTGGTTGTGTTCCAGATTCTTTTTATTTTTTATTCTTTTTACTTTTTTTTAATAATTCCAAAACTAACCTTCCTCCCCCAATTCAAAATCTGGGACAGGACAGCTGGAGAGACACTTTTTATTTTTGTCAGTGTTGCGTTTATATCCATCCCATATTTCCACCAAGGAGCTCAATTTGGCATTCATGGGTCTCCTTCTCCTTATGTTATCATCACAACAGGGTATAGAAGTGAATAAAATGAAAATGTATAAATTGCTATTGGAATGGCATCTGAAAGATGAAGAAGTTAAGTCTGTAATGATATATTGGGCTAAAGATTTTGGATATAATATAGAACTAGAAAACTGGGAAAAATTATGGAAAGAAGGAATAAAAGTTACTGCATGTAATGCTTTGCAAGAGAATGTGATGAAAATGATGTATAGATGGTATATAACACCAGTGAAACTAGCTAAAATGTACAAAGCAAGCAATAAATGTTAGAAATGTAACGATAAAGAAGGTACCTTTTATCATATGTGGTGGGAATGTAAGAAAGTGAAATGCTTCTGGGAGATAATATATAAGGAACTTAAAAAGATGTTGAAAATATACATTTGTCAAAAAACCAGAAGCATTTCTACTTGGAATTGTAGATACCAAAATAAATAGACAAGATAAAAAAAATATTTTTATATGCAACTACGGCTGCAAGAACATTGCTAGCACAGAAATGGAAACAAGAAGAATTACCAACCAAAGAAGAATGGCAGATGAAACTGATGGATTACGCAGAACTGGCAAAAATGACAGGAAGAATACGAGAACAGCCCAACCAGACGTTCCTGAAAGACAAGTAAATTTGTAAATTATCTGAAAGACAATTGTAGTCATTTGACTATGCTTGTAGGGTTACAACCCCTTCATGGATCACTGCCTTGCCGTGGCGAAGGGGCTTGAATAACTCAGAGAAGCTATGAGCTATGCCGTGCAGGGCCACCCAAGATGGACAGGTCATAGTGGAGAGTTTTGACCAAACGTGATCCACCTGGAGCAGGAACCGGCAAGCCACTCCAGTATCCCTGCCAAGAAAACTCCATGGACAAAGGCAACAGGCATATAAAAGTTATGACGCTGGAAGATGAGCCCCTCAGGTCGGAAGGCGTCCAACATGCTACTGAGGAAGAGCGGAGGACAAGTACAAGTAGATCCAGAGCTGATGAAGCGGCTGGGCCAAAGCCGAAAGGACGCTCAGTTGCGGATATGCCTGGAAGCGAAAGGAAAGTCCAATGCTGTAAAGAAAAATATTGCATAGGAACCTGGAATGTAAGAACCATGAACCTTGGTAAGTTGGATGTGGTCAAAAATGAGATGGCAAGAATAAATATTGACATCCTGGGCATCAGCGAACTAAAATGGACGGGAATGGGCGAATTCAGTTCAGATGACCATCATATCTACTACTGTGGGCAAGAATCCCGTAAAAGAAATGGAGTGGCCCTCATAGTCAACAAAAGAGTGGCGAAAGCTGTACTGGGATGCAATCTCAAAAATGATAGAATGATCTCGATACGAATCCAAGGCAGACCTTTTAACATCACAGTAATCCAAATTTATGCACCAACCACTGGTGCTGAAGAAACTGAAATTGACCAATTCTATGAAGACTTACAACACCTTATAGAAATGACACCAAAGAAGGATGTTCTTCTCATTATAGGGGATTGGAATGCTAAAGTAGGGAGTCAAGAGATAAAAGGAACAACTGGCAAGTTTGGCCTTGGAGTTCAAAACGAAGCAGGGCAAAGGCTAATAGAGTTCTGCCAAGAGAACAAGCAGAACAAACACACTTTTCCAACAACACAAGAGACGACTCTACACATGGACATCACCAGATGGGCAGCATCGAAATCAGATTGATTATATTCTCTGCAGCCAAAGATGGAGAAGCTCTATACAGTCAGCAAAAACAAGACCTGGAGCTGACTGTGGCTCAGATCATCAACTTCTTATAGCAAAATTCAAGCTTCTTCAACTGAAGAAAGTAGGAAAAACCACTGGGCTGGTAAGATACAATCTAAGTCAAATCCCTTATGAATACACAGTGGAAGTGAGGAACAGGTTTAAGGATTTAGATTTGGTGGACAGAGTGCCTGAAGAACTATGGATGGAGGCTCGTAACATTATACAGGAGGCAGCAACTAAAACCATCCCAATGAAAAGGAAATGAAAGAAAGCAAAGTGGCTGTCCAACGAGGCCTTACAAATAGCGGGGGAGAGAAGGCAAGCAAAATGTGAGGGAGATAGTAAAAGATACAGGAAATTGAATGCAGATTTCCAAAAAATAGCAAGGAGAGACAAGAAGGCCTTCTTAAACGAGCAATGCAAAGAAATAGAGGAAAACAATAGAATGGGAAAAACCAGAGATCTGTTCAAGAAAATTGGAGATATGAAAGGAACATTTCATACAAAGATTACCATAATAAAAGACAAAAGTGGAAAGGACCTAACAGAAGCAGAAGACATTAAGAAGAGGTGGCAAGAATACACAGAGGAATTATACCAGAAAGAAATGGATGTCTCGTACACTCCAGGTAGTGTGGTTGCTGACCTTGAGCCAGACATCCTGGAGAGTGAAGTCAAATGGGCCTTAGAAAGCACTGCTAATAACAAGGCCAGTGGAAGTGATGATATTCCAGCTGAACTATTTAAAATTTTAAACGATGATGCTGTCAAGGTGCTACACTCAATATGCCAGCAAATTTGGAAAACTCAGCAGTGGCCAGAGGATTGGAGAAGATCAATCTACATCCCAATCCCAAAGAAGGGCAGTGCCAATGAATGCTCCAACTACCGCACAATTGCACTCATTTCACACGCTAGCAAGGTTATGCTTAAAATTCTACAAGGCAGGCTTAAGCAGTATGTGGACCGAGAACTCCCAGAAGTGCAAGCTGGATTTCGAAGGGGCAGGGGAACCAGAGACCAAATTGCAAACATGCGCTGGATTATGGAGAAAGCTAGAGAGTTCCAGAAAGACATCTACTTCTGCTTCATTGACTATGCAAAAGCCTTTGACTGTTTCGACCATAGCAAACTATGGCAAGTTCTTAAAGAAATGGGAGTGCCTGATCACCTCATCTGTCTCCTGAGAAATCTCTATGTGGGACATGAAGCTACAGTTAGAACTGGATATGGAACAACTGATTGGTTCAAAATTGGGAAAGGAGTACGGCAAGGCTGTCTCCCTGGTTATTTAACTTATATGCAGAATTCATCATGCAAAAGGCAGGACTGAATGAATCCCAAGCCGGAATTAAGATCGCCGGAAGAAATATCAACAACCTCAGATATGCAGATGACACAACCTTGATGGCAGAAAGTGAGGAGGAATTAAAGAACCTTTTAATGAGGGTGAAAGAGGAGAGCACAAAATATGGTCTGAAGCTCAACATCAAAAAAACGAAGATCATGGCCACTGGTCCCACCACCTCCTGGCAAATAGAAGGGGAAGAAATGGAGGCAGTGAGAGATATTACTTTTTTGGGCTCCATGATCACTGCAGATGGTGACAGCAGTCACAAAATTAAAAGACACCTGCTCCTTGGGAGAAAGGCGATGGCAAACCTAGACAGCATCTTAAAAGCAGAGACATCACCTTGCCAACAAAGGTCCGTATAGTTAAAGCTATGGTTTTCCCAGTAGTGATGTATGGAAGTGAGAGCTGGACCATCAAGAAGGCTGATCGCCGAAGAATTGATGCTTTTGAATTATGGTGCTGGAGGAGACTCTTGAGAGTCCCATGGACTGCAAGAAGATCAAACGTATCCATTCTTAAGGAAATCAGCCCTGAGTGCTCACTGGAAGGACAGATCGTGAAGTTGAGGCTCCAATACTTTGGCCACCTCATGAGAAGAAGACTCCCTGGAAAAGACCCGGATGTTGGGAAAGATGGAGGGCACAAGGAGAAGGGGACGACAGAGGACAAGATGGTTGGACAGTGTTCTCGAAGCTACAAACATGAGTCTGACCAAACTGCGGGAGGCGGTGGAAGACAGGAGTGCCTGGTGTGCTCTGGTCCATGGGGTCACGAAGAGTCGGACACGACTAAACGACTAAACAGCAGTAGGGATACAAGAAGTTTTGTAATGATAATTATAAGAAATATTGTTGATGAGATTTAAGAGAATGGATTAGAGGATTTTGATGACTAAGCAATAGTTATGAGAGAAAATGCAAGAATAGGAGATGAATTTTGAAAATCATTAGAAGGGATTGATGGAAGTCATAGGCTTACTATAGCCACAAATGTATAAGATGAGATGGGATGGTTGTTTTGTCTGGAAAGTATGTTAAAACCAATAAAAATTTTATAGGGGAAAAAAGAAGGGAATAAAATGAGATCGGGGAACCATCATTTCCTATAGGTCTGGCCAGTAATGGAGACTTCCTTATCCATGGTCCTGTATGGCATCTTTAAGGCTAATTATTCAGGCTGAAATCCTACACATACTTTGCAAGGGACATCAAGCGGTGCTTGCTTCTGAGTGACATGCAGTGATTGTGCCATGAGCCCACATTAGAAATAGTGACAGCGTGGCAGCCTTCAGAGCCAAAATAAGACGCGTAATTGCTAAGTATTAATATACCTGTAATGTAAATGTTTAAGTATAAGTTTATGAAAAATAGAGAAGCTTTTCTACTCGGAATAACGGACACAGGTATAGCAAGAGAAGATCAGAAAATATTCTTCTATGCCACAGGAGCGGCAAGGATCCTAATTGCTAAAAACTGGAAAAAAGACACTGTGCCAACAAGAAAGGAATGGCAAGACAAACTGTTAGAGTATATTGAACTGGCTAGATTAACAGAGGCAATTAGAGGTCACACCAGACAAGAGTTTCAAAAAGCATGGGGAAAATGCAGAGAATACTTCACAAAACAGTGCCCTAAAATACATACCTGGACTTAGAAAAATCTTAATAATTATTCATAAAGGAAACAGTTAATAAGAAGAAAATAAGGAGGCCAGATACAGAATAAAAGAAGTCTTTTATTTGGTTGTTTGTATTGTTGTATGTTATGCTCATTGTATGTTATGTTCACGTTTAATGAGGGTGGATTTGTGTATTGGGGTGGGGGTTTATGTTATGTTGTAAATAAAATTCCAATAAAAATTATATATATACCTGTAATGTGTAAGTGTCCACTGTTTCTTTGCAAAGGAAGATGGTAGGGAGAGAACCAAACCTGGTGGAGGTCACATAGTTTTTCTCCCAGTATTGAAACAACTGTGACTTGCAGGAACTGCTTCTGAACCAAAGGAAGATGCTTTTCAGTTTGATTAGTTGTACAACTGCAATGCTTTTTGTCGACAGTATTTTTGCAAGGGAGGAAGCTAGGAAGAAACCCTGAGCAACTCAGTCATCCTGCCCCTGTGATCTTCTTGCAGCCCTGCCAGATATAGTGGACAACAGCCGCAACCTAAGCACCCTTATTTTGTGACATGTTGTAGGGTGCACACTTATTTCTCTGAAGGTGTTGCCAAGGACTGTTGGAGCTGTTGCTATGTGAAGTGAGAAAGTACCCTAGACACATCTGACACCCCCTTTCCCAGTAGAACTGGTACTGGTGGACAGACTGACTTTCAAGGAAGCATACTTGCCATTTCTGACCTTCCTGATGAGGAACCCCATGTTTCTCTGCGCACAATAAAAACAACTGCTCTAGATGGGAGGATGCTACAGAAAGAGCAAATCAGTCAGGTGCTGCCCTATGGAATCAAAGGAATCTGTGCTGGTTCATACAGAAAAATTCAAATTCCACCACTGAGGACCAGAAATAGGTAAATTACAAAACGGTGAGGAAGTTTTTGAGAGAGAAATTTGACCACAATGAGGCTTTGAAAGCCACCTTAGCACAGCAGTGGACAGCCATCGTTTCTGAAATATCCCTGCCAGTCTTCCCAGATAGTGGAGGTGTCAATGTTATGAAAAAATTAATAAAATCAGCAGGATAGGCCCAGGGTCATAAGGCCCTCTCAGGCTATAATGCATTTTGGGGGCATCTGTCCAGAAAGGACAATGAATGACAGGAATCATAAATACAGTGGTGCCCCGCAAGACGAATGCCTCGCAAGACGGAAAAACCGCTAGACGAAAGGGTTTTCCGTTTTGAAGTTGCTTCGCAGGACGAATTCCCCTATGGGCTTGCTTCGCAAGGCGAAAATACCTTGCGAGTCTTGAGATTTTTTTCGCTTTCCCCCTTTATCTAATCTGCTAAGCCTTTAATAGCCTTTAATAGCCTTTTAGCAGCTAATCCCCTAAGCCTTTAAGCCTTTAATAGCCGCTAAACAGCTGATAGCGCTAATAGCGCTAATCCGTCAATGGGCTTGCTTCGCAAGACGAAAAAACCGCTAGACGAAGACTCTTGCGGAACGGATTAATTTCGTCTTGCGAGGCACCACTGTAAGAGAAAACAAGAATGAGATGGGTCAGTATTTCCCGAGGAGAGAAATATAATTTGATATATCTAACCCGGCCAGCTTTGTGACTAAGGTCATATTTCCTTGCCAACGTGCCTCATTTTTGCCTTCTCTGTCGGAACCTCCCACCAGTTTAGCAGGGAAATTTCAACATTATGTCATGTTGCTAGTATAACTTACCAGCTACTTCTGCTGCTTCCTAGTGTGCTGCTCAGCTAGTGTACCGGTAATTGTGCCTTAGGGTTGTGCTGCGAGTTGTTGGTTGGTTGCGCATGTGAAGGGGGCATTGTCGTTCTCAAGCTGAACTTGCATAATACTACAAGCACAAATGCGTTTTCAGTTTTGCCAATAGTCGTAGGTAGATAAATCAAGTTACATGTGTGTATGACTGAACCATACTTGGAAAGTTTCCGTATTTCGAAAGATACAAAACTCTCCTTTATCCAATGCTGTTGCATTTTGATTAGATTTTTCTGATGGTATGAATTCATTTGGGGCAGCTGGAAATTTGCATTGGCTTGTAAGTGGATTCTTGGGTGTCTTGTGCCTTGTCTGGAAGGAGTCTATCCATTTTGTATCAAGTGGGTCTTCAAATGATTGCCTTCTATGTGGATGTTGCATTTGCTGGAGTTTTCTGCCATCAGGTGAACGGGCTCATCCCTGACATTCCTGCTAAGAATGGGGCTGAAACATGTGCCACATATTTGAATGAGCAGGGGAACGAAACATTCAGTAAAAATTGTTTTGATCAATTTTGCAATCTGAAGAAATTCATGCAAGCTGGAAAGAAGGCAGAAGGAGAAGTTGTTCTTTATTAGCTCTTGGGAAATGGGTACCATATTTTACAATTACAAAGCTATTCAAAGCTGAGCAAGCTCGCGCCATTCCTAGCCACAGTGGAAATGTACAGAGAGCTCTTTTATTAATTCAAAGCCAGTATATGAAGGATAGAAATCATCTAGTCTTGAGACAGGAAAGGGGCTTATAATGCTGTAGAATTCAAGTTATCACCTTACTGTGAGGTTCATTATTAGAGCAGCTATAGAGGGACAGGTCTAGCCTTCAAACCGAGCAGACAGTGCGGATTCCAACACAGCTGCTATTTTCTTGCAGTGTTTTTGTATCTTGCATAATTTAAAAAAAAATTAAAGCGATACCATTGGGGCAACCCCAAATTCATTCAAGTCAGAGAGGCCCCATAAACACTTCAGTCCCTACCCCACTCCCTTGCATTTTCTTATTTAATCTCTTTATTAAAACAAAAACAACAAAAAACTATTGGCAAGAGTTTAATGATAAATAAAAGTGCAGGACTGAGTGCTGGCTGTGAGTGATGGGGGCCCCACCAGCATCTGTCAGCAAGGCCCAGTCCATCAAACTGCAGGCTGCCGGCCTCTGATAGATTCCCATCATATATCACAGGCGTGGAGCTTACAGTAATGAAGTGCTGTTTATAACAGCAGAGATACTAAAAGTGAATGGCCAGGGCTAGGCATCAAGGGGCCCCGATGTAGTTTCTTTGACTGTCTGATCTGTGGTCAGGGTGGGGGAGCTTTTCCACTATCAAGTGGTCTATAAATGTTGTGAAATAATACAGAAAAATAATTGCACTAATAGAATAATATTATGGACACCAGCAGTGGAATACCCATATCTATCTTGAATTCCTGGTTGTAGACAATAAAAGGAGCCCATAGTCTTTCAATATTTTCTCTCTTTTGTCTTGTCTCCCTCAGTCATTCCAGGTCAGAAAGTCTGGTCTTATTAGCCAATTGTCAGATCTTATTAAGCCACATTTTTTCAGTCGGAACACTGGGTGAGTGACACTTGGATGCAATTAGGATTTGGGCTGCCGTTAAATAGTATCCTACTAGATTTGAGTGTTCGGAATGTAACACTGCCTTTGAGACAACTTAACAAAATATCTGAAAGTTTTTTTTGTAGGATATCCAATCACCTTGTTTATACTGTATGTGTCAAGCTAATTCACTTATCTTATCACAACTACACCAAACGTGGAGGAAATCTCCCAGCTTGCATTATTTCCCCAAAAACATCAATAACAATATGATATATTTTTGTTAAACTATATGGAGTCTGATGCCACCAATATTTATCTTAGAATATACAGGTCGTAATTTCCAGATTTCGTCATCAATATTCATCCCTTCATGCATTCTCTGAGTTTCACAGCCGTGTCCCCCAGGGGTCCCAAGGCAGTGAGGCTCTCCTGCTTCCAGTTGCCCTCCAGGGGGAGATTCGTTCTGTTCTTGCTTTAGTGAGCAAGGTACAGGCACTGTTAGCAGAAAGCTTTCTGCCTGTTCAGAAGGAAACAGAACTGCTAGGTGGAGTAAGGAGAGTAAATAATTCAAGTTGCTAACTGCAGCGGAGAAGGCAGAGATAGCAGAGGATGCTCAGGCATAAAATGGTAGCTTCAATGCCTGCAGCATTCCCATCTCAGAGGCCCAACCCTGCTTTGCCAAAGAGTTTGCCTTTTGTCAGCTCCTAGTGACAACTGGGGGGACGCGGGTGGCGCTGTGGGTTAAACCACAGAGCCTAGGACTTGCTGATCAGAAGGTCGGCGGTTCAAATCCCTGCAACGGGGTGAGCTCCCGTTGCTTGGTCCCTGCTCCTGCCAACCTAGCAGTTCGAAAGCACATCAAAGTGCAAGTAGATAAATAGGTACCACTCCGGCGGGAAGGTAAACGGCGTTTCCGTGCGCTGCTCTGGTTCGCCAGAAGCGGCTTAGTCATGCTGGCCACATGACCCAGAAACTGTATGCCGGCTCCCTTGGCCAGTAAAGTGAGATGAGCGCCGCAACCCCAGAGTCGGCCACGACTGGACCTAATGGTCAGGGGTCCCTTTACCTTTACCTTTAGTGACAACTGGCAGGTCAGGAAGCTTTTGTGCTGTCTGCTTTTGATAGTTTGCGCAGGGTCATCCTCTACCAGGAAGCAAAAGAAGGCGGCAGGGTGCCCTTTAGGGTGGGAGAGAGCGGAACAGGCGGTTCTGGCGCTTGAAACAGTCCATTGGGAAATTCTCCAGCAACAAACAGGAGACACACAAGAGTAATTATTTTTCTTCATAACCTCTCAGGTTGGCAAGTTCTGCAGCAGAGACCATTTCCCAACATAGCTAGAACTGTGCGCATTTGTGTGCATTTCCACAGAGGGCACCTCTTTGCCTCTTCCCTGTTTCACGTCCCTCCATCTTCTGAAGTAAGGCGTGAGATCACCACCAAGTTTTTTTTGGGGGGGGTCTTCCTTTTGAGGCAAAGGCGGCAGCTCCTAGGGACCGTGCCCTTTCGGAGACAATATTTTGGGGGGTGGGTTGCAGCCTCCCAGTGTCCAAAAAGTGTGGAGGCGAAGCATTGAGCTGAGCATGACTCTAGTGGCTGGTTCCTTCTTCTCCTGCTGCTGCTGCTGCAGAGGGGAAGCAGGGTTGAAGCAGCTCCCCGCCAGTGGTGGCAGAAAAGGAGCCGCCAGCCATTAAAGCCATGTGGCTGCTGTGCTTGGCTCCGCCCCCGGTTCCATCTGGTATCCTGACATCACATGTGCAATGTTGCGCCCCGCCCCATCACTGTCGCTTTTGAGAAGGATGGTTGCTTGTGTTGTGTTACCAGATGGGTTTTATTGTTTATATCTTTTTATATGTATATTATTTAACTACATTTTTTTGTCCCACCATCTCGTCCTCTGTCGTCCCCTTCTCCTTGTGCCCTCAATCTTTCCCAACATCAGGGTCTTTTCCAGGGAGTCTTCTCTTCTCATGAGGTGGCCAAAGTATTGGAGCCTCAGCTTCAGGATCTGTCCTTCCAGTGAGCACTCAGGGCTGATTTCCTTAAGAATGGAGAGGTTTGATCTTCAATAACTACATGCATATAGCCAATTAATTTTGTTTTATTGCAATTCTATGGAATTTTAAATGTGGTATGCTATGATTTTAGGTTTTCTTATCAGCCACCATCAGGTACCTGATATGTGGTGAGAAAAGTCAGTGTATGTAATGCAGTGCAATGCCACGCTATGCAAAGTATGTACGTAAATAAACAACAATGGAATTTCTTCTGCTCACATGTGAATCTGCTGTACTTGTTATGGGAGCAAATCTTCCACCATCCTTAAATGAGTAGTCATGCCACCTCTGATGGGGACATTGAGGAGGATCAATGCCCACCCGTCTCCTTTCTGAGAGCAGCTCCGAGACTGGAAGAGGGGAAATGGTGTATTTCCAATACTCTCATCTTTTTAAAAAGGAAAAAAAGGAACAGAGCTTGAGAAGTTCATTGCTTTCTCCTTCCCAAACTGAGAGTGCAGCTTCTGCTTGGGGAAATGTTAGGAAAGTGTGGCTCATCTCCTTCTCAGGCTATGCTTGATTGAGGGAAATCAGGGCAGCACCAAATTTGGAGAAGGAAGTTTGGTCCTTCGCTCTGTCATTCTGTGGCAATGGGTTTAGTGCTGAATGGGACTGGAAGTCTGGATTTGCAATGGGGCTGCAAAGAGGTCTCACTAGATCTACCCCCTGCCAAGCTCATTTTTGCTAGATGTATGATAACAAATACCGTATTTTTTGCACCATAACACTCACTTTTTTCCTCCTAAAAAGTAAGGGGAAATGTCTGTGCGTGTTATGGAGGGAATGCCTACGGGTGGCATGCCTACGGATTTTCCTCCTCTCAAAACTACGTGCGTGTTATGGTCGGGTGTGTGTTATAGAGCGAAAAATACGGTAGCTTGCAATGACTCAAGCCTCGCTAGCTTTGCAGCTAAGTGCACTGTTGCACAGATACCCCCTCCTGATCTTTGTACACCCAGAAACATTATTGAATGAACAATATTGCAGAGGGGCCCTTTAACCCTGTATTTGTTACAGGGCAGCCAACGGATGTGTGGGGAGAGGTGGAACTTACCTGCCAGCAGCTTGATGAGCAAGAACCAACTGGGGAAGCTTTCTGAAGTACTGTACGGCATTCCATCTGCTAAGGTCAATCTGTTACTAGCTACATATCTACAGCTGCCTGTTGCAAAGTTGGCACTCAGAATTTGTGAAAACTTTCTGCAGATCATCTTGAAACAGTTATGCATTTTGCACACTCTTCTAGTCTTGCAGTGGAACAAATCTGACCCATTTCTTCACAGAGTAGACATTTTCTTCAGTCTTTTTGTGTGTACTTCATGATAGCCACTTTTTAGGAGCCAGCTTGGTCTGTTTTATTTTTATGGAGCCTGCTCTTCCCTCTCACTGTTCACTGCTAGCAAGAATACAGCCCCTTCAGTTCTTCTTATTATCAGGCAGAGAAACAAACAGCATAAAGCAGAGGTGAAGGAGAGATGCTCTTCGTCCATCTCTCCAGATTCAATGGCATTGAGGCAGACGGCCCAGCTTGCTCTCGCAAACCCTTTCTGTGCACAATGGATTGTTTTTTCCAGGTGCCCTGGGCCCTGCTGTGGGGAGCAACATCCTGTGTCCCTTACCTTCCTCTAATGCACATCCAAGAGCAGGCAGAGCACTGCTCTCCCCACATCCCTTGCCTTCCTCCAAGTGGCCTCTTGCTGATGTACATGCCTATTGATTTGCCTTGTTTTGCTGTTCCCTCCTGTGCTTCATAAATGTCAACTTTTTTCTCTTACAAAGAAATTTTGTGGTAATGACTCTTTGTGCTGCTTCTAAATCCCCAATTACACAAGGAGCAGGAGTACAAAGCCATCCCCCTTTGGTGGAAATCTCCGCATAATCCCTTTTCCAGAGAAGCAGCCCACTAGTGACACGCTTCTAACACTTTGTTTGTTCCTTTGGATCAAATCTAACTGATTGCCGTAACTAATTAACTTTTGCTTTCTTCAGGCCTCTGTTGTCTTAATTAATTTCACAAATACTTTGTTCCAAGCTCCCAGCCAAAAGGCAACAGCAGCAGTTCAAGGAAGCTGCAAGAAGCAAGAGTGCAAAATCCAGAGTCTCAGTTCATAAGGGAGGAGTCAACTTGGGTTCAGCCTTTCTCTCCTTACCTTCAGGGACAGTGGCAACCTCAGGACAGAGCTGCCCATTTGCCCACAGTTCCTGAGCTAATAAGGCAAATCTCTGTCTGACCTGGAAACAAAATGAAGTGGGATTGGAGAATCCATCCTCACATTGGAGAATCCATCCTCACAGTGAGGGGTGGGCCTTGGAAGTTAAGTGGGGGAGTGGGCTTCTTGAGAGTCTAGACCAGGGGTTGCCAACAAGGCACCTGTCGCCACCAGGATGGCTCCCATGAAAAGTCTTCATAAACAATCCCTTCAAAATCCAGCATATCCTGTTTGCTCATCCCCCTCTGTCTGTGCCCTGGCTCAGGGATTGTCCACCCATCCACTTGCCCCATGCCTAGAAAGCATGGGGCTGAGTGATTTCCGTTTGCCCTGGCACTTTCCCCAGGCAGAGCTGCTCTTTACTGCTGAATTGGAGCAAATGTCAATCCATGAAAAACCCGACTGACATTTGCTCTGATTCAGCAGTGAAGAGCAGGTTTTCCCATGGGGCAGGGAAGTGGAGGACAATCAGAAGTGTGGACATCCCCATGTTTGATGACAGGAATGGACGCTAGAGATGGAATCGGTTGTCGGTTTCTGTCCTAATGTGTGTTGGTTAAAGAAAGGTCTCTTCCCCCTACCCTATTCCATTGCTCTTCCATTCCATACTGCTCAACTGTCCCAAATTGACCAGGACATCCCTTAATTACAAAACTATTTTTTATTGATTTACTTGACTGGGGGTGCAGCTACCCCCTCCCACCTTCCCCCCAGCTATTCCCATGGCTGCCCACTAGGTGCTGCTGTCTGTCTTCTCCTCTCTTTGCCAAAGTGTATTTCCAAAGGGATGGTGGCCACTTGCATCCTGGACTGTGCCACTTGGTGCAACCAAATCTTCTTTGGACCTTGCACGATATAATCTTATCAGTGCTGCAACTGTACACAGACCTATCTGGGAATAAATCCAATGGATCCTAATGGAACTTACTTCTGAGTAGAACTGCATATGATTGCACTGTCAGTCTAGAGAAAACAGCCTACATTCCAGCTTAAGGAATTTATGAACCTCCAACTTTGGTAAACAGTTATTACACAGTGGGTGGGTAGCCAGGAGGGCAGACTTCACCACTGGAATGTCAGGGAGCACTCTTCGCTTTTGATGGCTCTAGTTAATAATAATAATAATAATAATAAATTTTATTTATATCCCGCCCTCCCCAGCCAAAGCCAGGCTCAGGGCGGCTAACAACAAACAAATAATCAAACAATCAAATAATCAACATTCTAAAACATTTCATTATAAAATTAATTAAAATCAAATTAATGGCAACCGTTAAGCAAAGTTCTGTGCAGGTTGCCGGAGGTGGGAGTCAGGCTGGGCCCTGACCAAAGGCCTGGTGGAACAACTCTGTCTTGCAGGCCCTGCGGAAAGATGTCAGGTCCCGCAGGGCCCTAGTCTCTTGTGACAGAGCGTTCCACCAGATTGGAGCCGCAGCCGAAAGCCCTGGCTCTAGTTGAGGCCAGCCTAACCTCTCTGAGGCCTGGGACCTTCAGGATGTTTTTATTTGCAGACCGTAGGTTCCTCTGTGGGGCATACCAGGAGAGGCGGTCCCGTAGGTACGAGGGTCCTAGGCCGTATAGGGCTTTAAAGGTTAAAACCAGCACCTTAAACCTGATCCTGTACTCCACCGGGAGCCAGTGCAGCTGGTATAGTACCGGATGAATGTGATCTCGCAGCGAAGACCCCATAAGGAGTCTCGCCGCGGCATTCTGCACCCGCTGGAGTTTCTGGGTCAGTCTCAAGGGCAGCCCCACGTAGAGCGAGTTACAATAATCCAGTCTGGAGGTGACCGTCGCGTGGATCACAGTGGCTAGGTCAGGGCGAGAGAGATAAGGGGCCAACTGCTTAGCTTGGCGGAGATGAAAAAATGCCGCCTTTGTTATAGCTGTAATCTGCGCCTCCATAGAGAGGAAGGTATCGAAGATTACACCCAAACTCTTAACGGACGGTGCTGGCACTAATTGCACCCCGCAAGAGATGGGAGTTGCCCCCAATCCCATATCGTCCCGTCCCAGCCAGAGGACCTCTGTCTTGAAGGATTTAACTTCAACCGGCTTCCGCGTAACCATCCAGCCACAGCTTCCAAACATCTGGTCAGTGTGTCTGGGGCCGAGTCAGGATGGCCATCCATCAACAGATAGAGTTGGGTGTCATCGGCATACTGATGGCAACCCAGCCCAAAACTCCGGACAAGCTGGGCGGGCGCATAAAGATGTTAAAAGCATCGGGGAGAGTATCGCACCCTGAGGCACTCCACACACCAGGAGTGGCGGGATGACAATGCCCCCAAGCGCCACCCTCTGTCCCCGACCGGAGAGAAGCAGCGCAGCCATTGAAGGACTGTGCCCTGGATCCCCACGTCGGCAAGGCGGTGGTCCAGGAGTTCGTGATCAACCATGTCGAAGGCTGCTGACAGGTCTAGAAGAATCAGCAGCCCCGACCCGCCTCGATCCAGCTGCCTGCGGAGATCATCTGTTAGGGCGACCAGAGCCGTCTCGGTCCCATGACCAGCGCGGAAGCCAGACTGGAATGGATCCAGAGCCGATGTTTCATCCAGAAACCTACCAAGCTGTTCAGCAACCGCTCTCTCAATCACCTTACCCAGGAATGGAAGATTCGAAACCGGGCGGTAATTGGATAGATCTAAGGGATCTAATGATGTTTTCTTTAAGAGCGGGCGCACCACTGCCTCCTTCAATTCCCCTGGAAATATCCCGGTGCCAAGGGACAAATTGATGATATCTCCCAGGGGGGGCCGCACCTCGTCTGGACACGCTCTAATCAGCCAAGACGGGCCCGGGTCAAGAGGACAGGTGGTGGGCTTTCCAGCTCGGAGGAGTCTGTCCACATCGGCTGGGGATATCCGATCAAAGTGGTCCAATACTGGACCCGAGGACAGTCGAGCGGCCTCCAGTTCCTTTATTGTATCCAAATTGGCAGGGAGGTCATGGCGGAGCAACAGGACCTTCTCCGCAAAAAGCTCGCAAATGCCTCACAGCTGTGTGTCAGATTGTTATTTAAATTTGGCTGTCCTTCAAGGGACGTTAAAGACCTAATTATACTAAATAATTGCGCCGGGCGAGAGCTAGCGGATGCAATGGAGGCCGAAAGTAAGACTTCTTAGCGGCCTTCACCGCCATCTCATAGGTTTTCATAAAGACCCTATAAGATGTTCTTGAGGCTCCGTCACGGGCACCCCGCCATACTCGCTCTAGCCGTCTGAGGTCCGCTTCATTTTCCGAAGCTCCTCGGTAAACCAGGAGCCCGGTTTCTGCGGAGTCGCTGAGGGCGCGTCGGTGCGAGCTCATCGCTGGGGGCCAGGAGCGGGGTCTTCCAGCCCGCAACCAGCTCGGTCCCTGAGTCGCCAGGGGGGGCAAGGTCCCGCAAGGCTTGACGGAATCTATCAGGGTCCATCAGCCTCTGCGGGCGAGCCCAAATCGGCTCGCCACCTAAGCAGGGTGGGGGTGGAAAGTCAATCCTGGCTTTCAGAGCGTAGTGATCAGACCATGGCACCTTAATTGAAGGAGACATGATCACATCTATACCTACGCCAAAGATCAAATCCAGCGTGTGGCCTGCTTGATGTGTGGGGCCTGAAACAAACTGGGAGAGCCCTAGTGTTGCCATGGAAGACACCAGGTCCAGAGCCTGTGAGGAGGGAGTGGCATCAGCATGGATGTTGAAGTCCCCCAATACCAATAGGTTAGGGAACTCCAAGGCCCAGCCGGCCACCGCCTCCAGCAGGCCTGACAGGGTGTCTGCTGGTGCGCTAGGTGGCCGGTACACCAGCCAGACAGCCAAGCTCACCTCAGAGCCCCACACTAGGCCAACACATTCAATGCCGGGGATCGATGGCGATGGTAGAGCCCTGAAAGGACAATCTTCCCGGATTAATAATGCCACCCCTCCCCCCTCTAGCAGACAATATCCTATTGAACTACCCAGGAACACTTGCCATAAATAGTTCTGTGTTCTTCCATTGGTGCATCTCCTTGATGGTTCAGAAACAATGTGGGACAGCCTTGCAAACATTAAGAATGTTATGTTTTAAATGTTTACTAGGGAGAAAGCCCATCTGAATTCTGCAGGACTTACTTTGAATAGGCATAAACCAGTCTTACTCCTAGGTGTCAAGCTCCCCAGTCCCAAAAGAGTTCCTGTGGGGAGATGGCTAATTGATGGGCTATTAGCTACTTCATTTGCATTGAAATGACACAGCAGTCAGGGACTGAACCAAGAACTACCATCATGATTTACTGTTAAACCCACAGTTGAAAACAAAACCAAGTCAGGTGTCTGTTTCCAACTATTCAATTAGGTCCTGCAGATCTGGCTCACAGGAAATTCTGCACCATTCCTACTGGACACCCACTTTCTCTGGTTAACACAGGAAAGGTGCAAAGGTGTCTGTGAGCAAGATCAGCTGTGGCTGATGGAGGTGCCTTTTCCCCATTGGGGGGGCGGTTGTGCCTCTTTTTATGCTCCTTCAGATGTGGCTGCCATTTTGTGAACAGCAGCCTTTTTGTAACTAGCGCCCATGGAACTTGCTCAGAATTCCAAATGTGCCCACTGTCTCAGAAAGGTTGGCAACCCCTGGTTTAGGTCAACTCCAAAGGATGGCAAGACCTCTTCAGACTCAGGTTGGGATGGAAGGAAGGAAGGAAGGAAGCAACAGAGGAGTGTTGTGAGCAGTAGTAGTCACAACCGTAGTAGTGAAGGGTGGACTGGCAGGCAGCAGGTGCAGAGGTCATAATCTGCTGTCCATCTCTGAGCCATGTGGCATAGCTGTCAACGTTTCCCCTTTTTAAGGGAAAATCCCTTATTCTGAATAGGATTCCTCACAAGAAAAGGGAAAAGTTGACAGCTATGCCATGTGGCTCATCGTGGCTCACAATAGGGCCGGGCCAGTGCTAGAACCTCCTCAAAGAAAAGTAGAGAAAAATCTAGCTTCTGCTGATTATTTTCCTCAACCTCTCTTTTATTTCCCTCTGGAACTTATTTAATTTCTGTGTCAATTTGTTTTTGGTATTTAGTCCCCTGCCCTTGCAGTTCAAGGTGGTAGTTTGAAATGACAGAATGGAGTGGTAACAAAATGATTGGTTCGCCCCAGCCTTGTTTTGAAAGTGGGAACCCTGCTTGCTCCAATTCTTCAGCATAGATAAAATAACTGAACAAACATTCTCCCGCACAGAGTGACTGGATGATGTCTTCTGTCCCTTTTGAATCTCTGTTAATCCTTAACAACCACAAGCGACAGTAAAAGGTGCAGCCCCTCATTACCTTGTGCAGCTGGGGCAAGCAGCAAGCAGGGCAGCAACAGCCCAGCAGATGTTAGCTGAGCTACTCACAGTAACCTGCACGACGAGTCCTCTTCAAGCAACTTGGCTTGCCAGACCTGTTTGGCTTCCTCACCATTCTGTTTCTTTTACCCAAACACACTCCTGGTGATGGTGAGTTACAGATTAAAAATGGGGACAATATAACACCCTGTGGGAGAATGCAGCAGCCGAAGGAGGAAAATGCAAAAGGGGGAGGCGTTTTGAACAGGAGGAAAAAGAGAAATCTCTATTTCACCAGCTAAGGACACTGCAATTCACAGTGTTATGGGAGAGGCGTTTAGGTGGAATGTGCAGTACTATCAGAGACTATTAGTTAAAGCAGAGCAAAAGATTGCGACAAACTAATCCTGGAGAGAGAGGCTAGTTGAGAAAGCCACATAAAATGCAATGCAGCAGCTGAAGCAGATTCCAGGAGCAAAGGGGGCAGTGAGAGTAGACCAGGCATCCTCAACTTCGGTCCTCCAGATGTTTTGAGACTACAATACCCATCATCCCTGGCCACTGATCCTGCTAGCTAGGGATCATGGGAGTTGTAGGCCAAAAACACCTGGAGGGCCGAGGTTGAGGAAGCCTGGAATAGACCCTTGAAGAACATTCAGGGAGACACTCTGTGCAAGGATAGGAAGGGAATTGCTAGTGTGATCTTAAAATGGGTACCGGCAGATGTGGGGAGGGCCTGGGGCTGCAGGAGGGACTTCCCACAAAAGGAGCAACAAATAGAAGCTTCCTTAGAAGAAGCAGAGAATGAAACTGGAGAGGAGGAGAGGTTAGGGATGAAGGACACCTTAGAGATGTCTCCATTGAGCCTATGCCCTTCCAGTGCAATGGCACTTCCTTCTGAGGAGACATTTTAGGCCTGCACTTGTTCAGCCCTCAGATCTCCTTGTCTTGGCCTCAGCATGAGAGAGGTGGAGGCTTCCCCTCCTGCCACCCCCAAGGTAGCTGTATGAGGCACCTTGTTGGCCTTCTGAGAGGATGACACCTCTAGAGTTAACAGCAAACAAGCATAACCTCTTTAATGATAACCATGTAAAGGTTTGGAAATAAATAAATAAAGGCCTGCAAATATGGAGTAAAATGCAACTGCCTCTGCTGGGCAAAATCTCGGCTATAAAAAATGAACACACTCCCCAAAATGCTATTCCTTTTCCAGACAGTTCCTATAGTTAATGACATTTGAAATTTCAAGGAATGGCAGAAAGATCTATCTAGGTTTATTTGGCAGGGGAGAAAACCCAGGATAAAACATAAAATTATGATCAATACCAAAGAGGGAGGTGGTTTTGCTCTCCCTGACTTACTATTATATTTTGACGCATCATGTTTATCTTGGTTGAAAGAATGGATTCTACTGAAGAACAGCCACTTGTTAGATCTTGAAGGGCACAATCTAAAATTTGGGTGACATAGATACCTGTGGTATGGGAAGGCTAGGATATATGAGATTTTCAACCCACAAAATCAGGGGGGAACTTTTTTCTTTTCTTTTTTTCTTTTTCCATTTCTTTTTTTTAATTTGCATTTTCAAAAACAGGAAAAGAGAGCATATTTAACCCCCTCCCCTCCCCCTGTCCCATTTACAACTTTGTACCAAATACAACATGTATACATATACCATATGGCTTCCCTTCCACCCTTTTCCTAGTTCCTTTGCTTTTCTACTACCCCCGTGCCTTTGGGGAATGGAGTGGGGTTGGCATTAAATTAGATTTTCTCCATCTTGTCAATTCTCAGATTTGTTCCTCTGGCTCCACCAGTTCTCTGTTCTCACTGGCCTTGGTTCTCGCACTCGAGAAAGAGCAACAATACTCTTATTATTATTACATATATATCCCAGCTTTCTTCCAATGAGCTCAAGGTGGCAAATGCGGTTTTCCCACTGCCTATTTTATCCTCACAACAAACCTGTGAGGTAGGTTAGGCTGGGAGGCAGTGACTGGCCCAGGGTCACCCAGTGAGCTTCATACGTGAGTATGAATTTGAACCCTGACCTGCCAGGTTTTAATCCAAACATTCTAGCCAGAACTCTTAAGTTCTGATAATGCGTACTGGGATAACAACTGATGTCTTTTTAAGTGGCATATTTTTTTTTATGGCACTGTTTACGCACAGCTCTATTTTCAGACATTTTCATTGCCTTTGGTTAATCTCACCCTGTTTTTGACAGGTAGAAGAATCCTAATGGGGCCACGGATGTACAGCGCAGCGGATTCTCTGCCACATCCAAAGATCTTTTTGCTCTTGCTTACCAGGGCAGAGGGACGTTGGTGGCACTGTGGGTTAAACCACTGAGCCTAGGACTTGCCGATCAGAAGGTCGGCGGTTCGAATCCCCACGACGGGATGAGCTCCCATTGCTCGGTCCCTGCTCCTGCCAACCTAGCAGTTCGAAAGCACCTCAAAGTGCAAGTAGATAAATAGGTATCGCTCTGGCGGGAAGGTAAACGGCATTTCCGTGCACTGCTCTGGTTCGCCAGAAGCAGCTTAGTCATGCTGGCCACATGACCCGGAAGCTGTACGCCGGCTCCCTCGGCCAATAAAGCGAGATGAGCACTGCAACCCCAGAGTCGGTCACGACTAGACCTAATGGTCAGGGGTCCCTTTACCTTTACATACCAGGGCAGAAGGTGTGAGTGGTGAGGATGTTTCTTTCATTTTCTGCTGCACCTGCTCCAAGCTGTTGCACCTGAGAGGCTTGAAGATCAGGCCTGTTAGGAGATCATGCAATCAAAGCTTCTGGCACCCTGACCTCCAATCCCACCCTGAAATGCCCTACTTCAGGGCTTCTGCTGGAAGAGGGACCACTGGCAGAAGCTTATCACCCATTTGGGCAACTATGAGGCCTCTCCACCACAGCGGTGCTCCCCTCTCTGCCAGTGAAGAAGAGTGGCTGAACAGCATCCTCAACCCACAGGCACACTCACTGGATTACAGGCACACTCACTTTTCCCCTTTCTTTTCTAGGTATAAAACTTTCCATTTGTCAGGACTAGGCTAATTCTTTTCTGCATCGTTATATAAACCCTTGAATGTATCAAGAGTATTTTTTTTTTTATGCTAATCATGTCCTCGAAAGGGCATTGCTCTCCCTTCCACTTTTTCTGTCCAAAAATTTTATACACATATTCTCTAATGCTTCAGCTCAAGTCATTAATAAAAATGTCAAGCAGATCTAGACCCAGGATTGCCTTCATATAGCCTTCTTCTTTGACACTGATCCAGCCATAATTGCTCTGTTAGTGTGAATTATCAAGAAATTGTGTACCCAACGTGATGGCAGTTTCTTCTTGAGTTTACTTATGAGACTGTCATAGGGAACTGTGTCAAGAGTCTCACTAAAGTCAAGGTACATTATATCAGAACTGAGAGTGAATGTGGCTCTTATCTCATGCTTCATTGAGCTTCTGAGCTTTCTTGAATTTCTTTACTTTTTATTATATCCTAGCAAAATGTCTGTCATTGTGTTGGATGTTAGGTGTGTGGAAAATGAGCTTGTATGTCACAAAGACTTACAAGCTGTGCTGTTTTTCTAGAAAAAAGAGGTGCCAGAGCTCACCATGAACTTCTCCCTTGCTCTCTTACGTAGAATGGCAATGGTGCCCACCTGAGAGGTGCCAGGTCTGAGCTCTGGTGAGCTCCAGCTGAAAAAAAAGCCCTGCATACAAGTAGTGCAGTGCTCCGCCCCAGCACCACCACCACTGAAGCACCTATGGAATCCTGGTTACCATCAAGCACAGAAGGAAGGTTTTACCCTCAGTCCTCAAGCGAAGTGCTTTGCTTTCCCCCAAAACAACATGCATATCTGTGGGCAGCCCAATGTTCAAAAGCCCTAAATGGCTTGTGACCTGGGTAACTGAAAGAACACAACTCCCCACACAATCCTGCCCAGGATCTGAGGTCAGCTGTGGAGGAACATGTGAGGGTACCCATCACTGGCAAAGGTCCGGAAATGGATGGCTCATCCGAGGGTCTTCTCAGGCTGCAGAAGGCTCTGCCCTCTGAACCTTGGTGAGCCTCTATTCTGTACGGGCTTTTTCCATGCCAACTGAATGCCTTTCTCTTTCAGCACATTTCCTTAGCACATTTATTGGTTTATTGCTGTCTGTTTATTGGTTTGTGGGATATACATTATTGTAAATAATATAATAAAATAAAGGAGGCAGGGAAAAGGTGAATTCAGGGACCCCATTGTTGCATCCTGTGTGCTATTTATTTAACTTTCTTTTCTTTTACAATAGCATACTGTAGTACTATTTCACTATAAAAGGGGGGAGGAATCACTCCCTCCTGGAACTGATTAATTAAGGGGCAATTCTTCACTACTGTCCAAGCTATGCCGAACAGGAAGGAATAGCAGGGGCAGAAGCTAATTTAAGGCACAATAGCCATTAAAAGTCTCAGTAAACAGGGCTGCCATTTTATTGCTTTCTTTCCACTTCCCTGATACATAGCAGGTCTGGAGAGAGAGAAAACAGAGGAGGACAACTCAGAAAACAATGGAATGCAACTACATGGCAATGGCATAATCTGGATTTTCTGTAAAAAGGAGTGAACAGATTGGCAATCCCATAATAAGGGCTGCTGTGTGTCTTTGCATCCAAAAGTTGGTTTTGGGGTGCCGAGGCTCTTTTGTACAACTTGCAAGTGTAGCATCTTCCTTAGTTTACCAGAATAAACAGACTCCATTTCTTTCTGATTGTAATTCAGTATGGAGAACAAAGCTGATCTCAGCAAACAAGAGCAGGCAGGAGCAGGAATGACCATATCCACATTTGTGTTCTTTGTGGCAGTGCCTACAGAATGGAGAGGCTGGTGTTGTCATTCTTACACTGCTGAGGTGATTGTGCCTCTCAAACCTGGTGAAGGTTGAAGACAGAAGATTCTTTTTAAGGGATTTTAAAGTGGAATGACAAAAGCACCGTTGCCCTTGCTTGCTTGCTTATTTATGTCAAGAAGATTTTTGAAAAAACTGCAATGGGACACACCATGAGCAATGGTGATTCTGTCACACTTTCAGCACTGGAAATTGTGTGATCTGTCTCCAGCCATAGACAGAGACAGCTTTTGTCATAGTCCGACCATAGCTTTCCCTTTTCTTGTGAGGAATCCTATTCGGAGTAAGGGAATTTCCCTTTAAAAAAGGGGAAAGTTGACAACTATGAGTCCGACAAAGCAAAGGCTGTTGTTGCAGTGCTATGGCCATATGGAACTTGACCTCTGAGTCAGAGGCTGGTAGCAAGACAGCTCCAGAGGACAGGCCTGACCCTCACATGCTCACAGGGAATTGCAAACAGAGCTAGCTGTTTCCATCAGAAACATGGGGCATTTACACAGGGAAGGGACTGGGAGTGTGCATCTTGTCCCAAATGTCCCCAAATTAAGGGCTGTGGCTCCTAACCCTACACAAATCTGGAGTAGAGTCCCTGAGGCCTTGTGTAGAGTAGGGTCCTTCTAGGAACTCCTGCTGCCAAGCTAATATCAAATGTCTTGCTCTGTTTTCCTTTGCACCATGTCAGTACACTCCATACCCCAGGCTTGCACCCTGGGGAAGTCACTCCGTTGCTGCTAAGGCAGCGGTTTGATTTCACCCCCAGAGATGCACTCCATTGTCCCTCAAGACAGGTTGATGCCAACTGCAACTGGCTTTTTTTTTTAATGATTTTATTGATACATCAGGACAACAACAACAAAACAGAAGAAGAAAAAATATACAGCAATAAAAAGATATTGGAAATTAGATAATGACCATAAAAGTTACAACCAACAAAACCTAAACATTTAGACCACATAAATATAAATAACATAAAATAACATTAACATTTTTACTGGCTTTTTAAACTGTGGGGCGGGATGTTGTTTTTGTTTGTTATTATGCTGCATATTTTTGTGTTTTTATATTGTAAACTTCCCTGTGATCTTGGCTGAAGGGCAGTACAGTCATACCTCATGTTACGTTTGCTTCATGTTATTTTTTTCAGGTTGCGTCCTGCGGTGACCTGGAAGTACCGGAAAGGGTTACTTCCGGGTTTCGTGCCTCGTGCATGCGCAGTAGTGCTAAATCATGCTTCGCGCATGCACACAAGCGCCAAATCATGCCACGCACCTGCGCAGATATGGCGCTTCAGGTTGTGGGCTTTTCATGTTGCAAATGAGCCTCCGGAACGGATCCCGTTGGCAACCAGCGGTACCACTGTATAGAAATGTAATAAAATAAATAAATAAAATGATGTGAATTTGAAGTGCTTCTTCTTTATCCCTTGTTCCTGTGTCTACACAACATCCTCTCATCCAAGTAGCAGTCTGTACTTTCCCTTCACTAAATTTGTATTTTTCAAATTTTCCAATAATCCAATAAAGGAAGAAAAGGCAATATAAAATGGCATATTTTCTCCAATGGGTGAATACCATGTATTGCCACACCTGCTACGATCCATTTTGGTTTCCATCAGCCCAAATAAAAGGATTCAGCCTGGTTGTTGCTGAAGGCAGATCCGTGGTATTTTTATTTTTAAGAGAACTCTTTTGTGCAAAAGTGCTCTTCCACAAAAGAGCAGTATTAAAAGTAAAATGTGAGGAGGCAGGAAAATAAAGGGGGAGGAAGGAAACTGAAGTCTTCCATGTGAGCAACTCCAAATCCTTTGCTAGCTTAGAAAGGACAAACCAATTTTAAAAAAATAATTCTGCAATTACAGTGGTACCTCGGGTTACAGACGCTTCAGGTTACAGACTCCGCTAACCCAGAAATAGTACCTCGGGTTAAGAACTTTGCTTCAGGATGAGAACAGAAATCGTGCAGTGGCTGCGGGAGGCCCTATTAGCTAAAGTGGTACCTCGGGTTAAGAACAGTTTCAGGTTAAGAACGGACCTCCAGAACGAATTAAGTTCTTAACCCGAGGTACCACTGTATTGAAAAAATAATTCTGCAAATCTGGTGTGTGTATATTCAATAATATTTTTTTTTTAATGGGGCACAGGCAAATACCTGCACACATGGCCACACCAGACCTCAGGTTTCCAAAATGTGTGATAGGTGGGAAAGCCCAAGTTGAAAAGAGAAGCGAAAACACCCGGCGCAAATCCGTTCCATAGAGCACCACCCAACAGGGTGGACAAGCAACATCAAAATAGATTTGGGAGGTATAAAATTGAAAACTGAATTGTGGATGAAGGTGTACAAACACACAAACACATCGGCACCTTGGGGTGGACACCACCAAGCCTTCACCGCAGATCTTTTCAACCTTCTGTGGGGAAGGGGGGTGTTATTGGTTTGTGTTCTTTTGTTTTTATTATGTTTTTTGTGTTTTCATCTTGTATTTTGACATTGTGAACTGCCCTTTCTCTCCCCGCCACTTCCTTTCTCGAGACTCCCCCCAGCACTTTCTCTCCCCAAACAGAAGCACACCAAAGTGTTTCTAAGCACTGCCCCCAGATGGCCTGATCTCTCTGTGCCTCTTGCTCTCTTTTTAATTCACACACCTTCACCTGCTCTTCCTTCCCCTTCACAGATGTGCTTTGGAGCAGAGCCACTGGCTGTTGCTAGAGGCTCCTCTCTCCAGACTGGCTACATTGTGCTCCTGCTCACTTTGGCACTTTCCAAACTTGTTGTCTGGCTCTAAGGCTGGAAACCCTAGTGCAGCTGCATGACAAAAATTAAAATAAATAGATAAAAATACCACCATCCCGGTTGTAAGGACTACAGCAAGATAATGCACTTGAAGTGCTTTGATGACTTGAAAGGATAACCCAAATATACTTGAAGTCCTGCAGTGATTTCATGCTCTTTATTGCAGCTTGTAAAACAGTGATTGAATTTCCCCCCAAACCTCAGGCTTTTATATACATTATTTACACAATGAGTCTCATCTGATTGGCTGATTAACTTCCTCCTGGAGCCTGATTGGTCTTCTCCTGCAAGCCAATCACTTCTTGCATTCTAGGATCCCACCTGCCTATTGTTCTAGGATCCAAGCTTAGTACATAACACCTTTTTGCCTGTACTGAGGTAGTCCCCGATTTCTGGTGACTGACCCTCCTAAATCATTGTCCCTATTCTGTTTTCTGAAGAGGTTTTGGAGGCTCCTATGAAGAAACAACCATGTTGCAAGGGGTTGCCATTCTTTGGTTTCCAGAGCCAAGTAGGAGGGTCAAATACACCCTAAAGTTGGTACATGGGCAGAGGCAGGGCTGGTCCACGGCTTCTTGTCCATCCCTTAAAATGTACCTCCAGTCCATGTTGCTGACTGCAGTTGAGGTGCACGGATTGACAGCATGTACAGACAAATCCGTTGCAAGATGAAATATGTTAATAAAAATCACTGCATTTTTTTAAGGCAAAGTGTCATAGGCAGCTTGTTTCAAGAGTGAGCACAGGACAAGTTACTGCATCGTCAATGAGCAAGAGGCAAAGGAGAGTCTTCAGAGATGTGTAACAGCGAGAGGGTGGAGAAGCAGCTCATAATCCTCACTGTGAAAAGTGGTACCAAACACACAGCTGTATTTTCACTTTTGAAATGTTGCAAGGTATTTTGGGAGGAGGAATAAGGAACCTTTGACAATTGTCACTCAAATGTACTTTTTATCAGCTTAAGCTGTGGCTTCTAGCAAGCTAAATCTTCTTTCCTCTTTGCTGGTGACAGCCTGCAAAGGAACCTAGACAATGGCAGCTCCGGGTCATTCCCCTAGCCTCACATTTAGGGCTTGTATCCTGTCCTTTTACTTGCCATGTTCTGATGATAAAGGCTGTCATTTTCCTGTCTACTTGGTACCTTCATCTTAGAACTCAGGCGTCTCAGCCACAAAGGAGCGGAAGGAATTCTTCTTTAGGAAACTGTGATGCAAACTGGCTTTTCTAAGACAAACAAACAACTAACGCCTTCTGCTAAAGCAATTGCTAGATTTTATTTTATTTTACTGGTGTAAAAACCAAAAATTGGTTGGGTTGCCAGATTTTATTTTCTATAGCTAGAATGTTCCTTTTCGGAAAAAGCTGCCAGCACTCTTTTCAATTGCACTTGAACTACATAGGCTGTGCATGAGCGCTAAGGAACAGAGCTACTGAATTCCAGCTGTAGCCCACTGTCATACAAGCTGCCCTCTGAGAAATGGCAGGGCTCAAGTGCACCCTTAACAATCCCTTTCCTTCCATCACAGGTTCTGTTAAGGGGAAGGAGACAGGTGACATGGCAACGACTTAAACCAGTTGCAGCTTTGAGCAGTTGCAGCACTGCCAGTAATATATGGGCTTGGCTCTTTGAATCTACCAGTGCCAGCCATGAGACCAATCAGAAAGCTTTTTGTGTTCATTCTGCTTCCAGGCTCTCAACTCTTTATCCTGCTCCAGGCCCTGCCTCTTTGGTCTACCCTGCTACTAGAATTGTTGAGGCAAAAATGGTCAACACTCTGGATGAAAGGCATCGGCTGGCGCAGCTTGAAATGAATTTTCCCCGGCAAACCCTTATCTCAAGATCTAGATATTGAATATCTGTGGAAATTTATGCATCCACTTGTCGGCATTAGACACACAACGGTGTTCCGTAATTGGCACTCAATATTCACCATTATTGAATATTCAGGATTTCAGACTACATGGTTGCTGGCAGTATTTGACAGTCTGCAGACTCTGGGTGCAGTTCATCTTCAGAGCAGAAGCCCTGCAGAAGGATTTCTGCTGGCACAATGGGACTTTCCTCCCCCCCCCCTTGTGCCTCCCCTGCACCCCTTGAAAATGGCTTGGGGTGGGTGTTGGGATAACCCCCAGAGAAGCACCTGGGTCAAGGAGGGGGAGCATGTTCTCTCCAGCAAGCTGAAATGCTTGAGCACATTCACCATCGTGTGATGTTGACTTCCACCTGATGCCATTTTTAACCTTCCCTTCTAACCAAGAGGACAGATGCAGCTTTCACCCTCACATCAACCCTGTGAATTTGAGAGATCCAAGCCTGATCCAAAGTCACTCCAGCCACTTGTGCCCCAGACAGAAACTCACTGCACTCGCTTTTCTATATGGAAAAAGAAAGAAAAGTTATTACTGCGGCTGCAATACAAGCAGCATAAGCACTGGATTGCACAAACTGCAACCAGAATAAAATCACCCAGCAGTGTTTTCTACCGCAAAAAGATCTACTTTTTTCTCCTTCTTTTCTTTTCTTTTCTCATCCATAATTCATCTCAGACTCACCTGCCCCCTCCTATCTGCTTCTTTGATCTCTCTTCACTTTTGTTACATCACTGAATGTCATTAAGTAGCTGTTTATTGGAGCTGTTCAACTTATTCATATAAAAAAAATGGACTGAGAATTTAACCTTCTTGCTCTTTCTGGGTTTTTGTATTCTTTTATCTGCTCGGGCCTTTGTTGTCTGCAATCATTTATGAATAAATCACGTGAATACACTTATTTGGGAACTCTTCCCTTTGGCTGGTTGTTTGCACTGTTCAGTGCTCTGTGATTGGGCACCCAGATCACATGACCAAGTGGCTGATTCTTCATAACTGAAATTAAAGATTTTCCAGCCAGTCATTGTTTGTGCAAAAAAACCCCCAACCATTTAAAAAACCCTTCATCTTCTCACAAGTCTCCAAGTATTTGTGAATAATACAGTCCCAACAAAGTACAGCAGGTCAAGCTCATCATGCCATACAGTGAGCTTTGCTGTTTACTGTCTCTGACAGATCATTAGAGAAGGTGTTAAAGAAACCCACAGACATTTCTGACCTCTCTGACTCCCACAAGACACTTCCTCCCCCAGTTTATCTTCACTCTCTGGTAGCAGTCAGTCACCTCACTATTGCCAGAACCATATTATAAGGAGAGCATAGAGCTGAACCCGCTGCACAAGACAGAAGGGCAGAGCTAGAGTGTCTCCACAAATGGATCCCCAGCCTCTGGCTGAAGACTTCCCGTGAGGGAGAACCCACCACCTCCTTTGGTAGAAGGTCACCCTTCCTATTTTACCCAGGCCAACCTAACCAAGAGCACTTCCTAATACAAACTGAAATATACTCAGAGTCGAGAGTGGATTTCATGCTCTTTATTCAGCTCACTCAGTACATAACACAAACCCTGAAAGGAAAAGGCAGGAGAGAGCAATGTCACAGAGACAAAAGGCAGGGTAAGGAGAAGGAGATCCTGAAACAGCCAAGCACGTTCTCTCCCTAAGAACACCCTACCTTCAACAAGAGGAAAAGAGAGTGAAACATAAAAAAAAGATTTCTATATTAAACTGAAGGAACCCACTCAATCTATGTATGTAAAAGTGTTTGCATTTGTATTCATAAGTATGTAAATATATGTCTGTAGGTGTCTATAGGTGTGTGTCTCTCTCTCTCTGGGTGCCATCCGTGTCTTTATTTTCAGTATGGTATTTGTAAAAATGAATAATAAATACTGCGTGAGACATTGGCTGGCACGTACATAAGCAGCTCCGTTAACAACAGAGGAAGCAAACTCTGTTGTGTAGGCTACTTGTGCTCCCCAGCTGGAGTTGGCCCAACACTCATCACTTGTGAGATTAAGGACTTCAGATACATTCATAGGTCTTCTTCTCAATCTGGCTCCATTTGCCCATAGCTATCACTGACACGCTCTTCTCTTTGAGCAAAAACACCACTCCAAAAAGTCCCTGCTGATAAATTCATCAACAGTGACTGACAGACAGGGGACTCCACCCCCCTGTCCCGCTTGGCCCACCAAAGGTGGAGGAGAGAAGGATTTGGCCCACTGACCAGAGCCAGAAGCCCATTTGAGGCTTGCCTTGGCCATGCCAGGCTCCTTGGAGATGCAGAAAGGCAGAACACCATTTGCAGAAATAACGTTGGGGTTTCTCTGTCTCCAGAGGAGGTATGTAGACAAATAAGTCCAAATGTTTCCCTCCTCAAAGCCATCAAAACACCAATGTCTCTGTAATATTTAATGGCTTGTTTTGCTCCCTAAATGATACAATGAAAAGGATTATTAATGTTAATAGCATTCTTATCATATTTTAATGGCATCATGTATAACCGAAATGTCATCTCAGCACATATTTCTCCCGCTTTCACCCAGGGCGTGGAGTAATCGTGCTCCAGAGAGATGCTGAGAGCAAGGAGAGAGCACAGCAGATGCTCTCTGAGCTCAGAGAAGCATGGCTGGCGGGAGGGAGGAGGAGGGGGGGTAAAATGCTAAACAAAAGCCAACCCTCGTTTCAGGGAGAGGAAGAGAAAAGATCGGAAGAGCAAGATGTTGGAGAAGAGCACGAGGAGCAAAACAACTCCCCGCCGCCACCCCTAAACGCCCTGCCTGCAATTTTGGTTTTTCCTTATTGTCTTGCCAGGTCCCCCCAGGATCTGCCTGTTTCTGGAGGAGGAGGAGGTGACAGCAGGGAGGCAGCACAGTGGTTTTTAAAAGGAGCTTCTCTAATTGAACTGCAGTGCTGGACACTAACCCTTTTCCTATATTTATTGTGTCTGTGCTCATGATGGCTTCTCACTCACTCTCTCCGACAAGGAAGACAAGAAAGACACTTAAGAATGTGAGAACATGGAGGGGGGCTATTTAAGCATCAGCATGGGGGAGAAGTCTGAAGAGAGAATAACCTAGTGCTCTTCAGGGCTTCCAGCTGGTCCTGTAGCCAGGATGGGGGCAATACGTCACCACACGCCCCCCATGAGACTTGTGTGATGCTTCCTTGCTGGGGGGTGGTTAATATGTTTTTTTAAAAACACAGCCAGATGGGCAAGGTATAAATAATAAAATTATTATTATTATTATTATTATTATTATTATTATTATTGGTTTTCAATAGTAACATCGTAAACATAACTTGGAAACAAAAACAACTCATGGAGTCCATATTTTCAGATAGTCATGGTCATCTGCCATGGATGTTTTAGCTGAGATTCCTGCATTGCAGGGGGTTGGACTAGATGACCCTAGGGGTCCCTTTCAACTCTATGGTTTTATGAAAAGGGACACCTCCTAGTAAACAATGGAATTGGCCGGCTATAGCTGTGCTGCCGCCTCTAGACTGGTTGAAAAGCATACTCAAGCATGAAGCCCAAAAGGCTCAAGTGATCTGAGAAGCCAAGAGGGGCCTTCCCGGGACTCATTTCTCAATGCCGGTTGAGCCACTTTTGAGAATGCCCTGTTGGATTTGTGACTGCACCACCTGCCTGTCCTGTCATTGATTCCACCTGCATTGAGCTGCCGGTGGTACCAGCAGTTCTTGGGACGCAGCCTGGCCTGGTTGGGGTGGGGAATCAATTGCTGCGGATGAATTGCAATAAGCAGGGTTACTCTTGATCACTAGGATCCGTAAAGTACAGTGGTGCCTCGCAAGACGAAATTAATTCGTTCCGCGAGTTTTGTCGTCTTGCGATTTTTTTCGTCTTGCGAAGCACGGTGTTGGGAAAGTTTTGGAAAAGCTTCAAAAATCACCAAAGTCTTTAAAAACCTCAAAAAAGGCTACCACACCGCGTTCTATGAGTTGCTCCTCGAAGTCAAGTCACAACTCTATTAACGGTGTTAAGAAAAAGGAAACAAACTTGCAAGACGTTTCCGTCTTGCAAAGCAAGCCCATAGGGAAAATCGTCTTGCGAAGCAGCTCAAAAAACGGAAAACCCTTTCGTCTAGCGAGTTTTTCGTCTTGCGAGGCATTCGTCTTGCGGGGCACCACTGTAACTCCCAATAATTACAAAATAAAATAGATACATAATAGCAACTGTTGCAATAAAACTATTAAAATACTTTATGTGAAGCATATGCTGCCAACAGCAGCCTAATGCCAGCCTGCCACAACATCAACACTTCGTAGATAAATGCTTTCCTGGAAAGGAAAGTCTAAAAAAAACCCACACAACTTTCTAACAGACAGAAACAAGCTCCCCAGGTAGAGTTCCTTTGCTAAAGAGTTCTGCGTTGCTGGCTGCCACTCCTGTTTCTAACCACTCACCAGACCTCAAATTGTGGGGGAATCTGAACAGGGCACACAATATTGCAGTGTGTTTCATTAAATATCTCTATTGTGCAGCAACTAATCCTCGTTTTAAAGATTCCATCAATTTTATCCAATTACGACTCCCTAAAATAAGAACAGTTTGTGTTGCATTGTTGACTGGAAGATCAAAAAAAAAGATTGAAGAACTGCGCAGAATTCAATTACTGGTAGTAGACAACTTAGAAATTCTACAGGGGGATGCTGAACCAACCTGATTGAAAAGGAGTGTGTACGGTATTTCTTCTCAAATGTGCAGTTAATGTTATGCATTCTTTTTTATTATTTAAGAATGTTAGAATAAGGTTGTCCAAGTGACGGCTAGTTTAACTGTTGAACTGTGGCTGTTTGTGAGGAAACCCCTGTGCACAAGCACCTACTCGTGTGCAGGGGTGCTACACCATCAAGACACCCACACAATCCGGCATCCCAACTATGTAGAGCTCTTCCATGTGAGCTGAAGCTACTGTTGTTTCTTCTTAAACAACACTGAAATGCACACAGTTGCTGGAGAAAGAAGACATAGCAATGCGGCTAGAGCTCAAAGCACACCCTCAGTCTAGAGTCAACAAGATTATGTCCTACATGTGAGTAATGTGTAAATAGAGCTTGTGTCAAAAGCTTTGGGGAAAACCAAGCATGTACTGTCTACCAAGCTCTCCCTGTAGCTTGACAAAATCTTGGTGCAGAAGGACAGCTAGCAGCAATAAGAAAGCATGTATTGGGGAGGGGATCTCAATGGAGGGGAAAGCAGTTGAACTCCAGCTTCCACAAGGTCTTCCTTCTTGTCTGAGAGCTGCTGGACAGCTCCTGTCATAGTTGCAAGAGCTTATTGGTGCTAACGGAGCTTGAAATGCAAATAGCAGCCTCAGAGATGATATTTGTCAGGGCTGTGGGAGAGAGAGAAATAATTAACTTTCCCTCCCTACCTCCACCTGCTCAGGCTTCTCCTGAGCTGCTGCTGCTGCTGCTGCTGCTGCCTACACACACAAAACGATGCACATTAATTGGCTGGTGGAAATTAATGCCCCATCTGGTTTGGCCCTAAGACAACTAACCTAAGCAAAATGCAGGGTAGGGGAGGAGTTAGGGTATGGTTACCAGATTTTTTTCAATGAATCTGGGGACACATTCTTCTTCTACTACTACTACTACTACTACTACTACTACTACTACTACTTCTTTTTGAAGCTGAGTAGCAACAGGGAGTCAGTAGTGGGGATGGTGAGGCAAAAGACCCTGGGCCCAAGCACACATGCATATTGTATAAAGGTGCAAAGCCCTTCTTTCGCACCCTGTGCAACACAAATGTGCAGAGTTTTTAAAAAAACTGGGCAACGGCCGCCCGCCTACAACTCCCGAGCCTCCCCCGATCAGTCAAAACAAAGGGGGAAGGGGGCAGGAGATCTGTACCGCTGGACGTCCCCGGTACAGTGCACAAGACACATCATATGGGGACTTGCAGTGAGGAAAAATGGCAGGCGCCACAGCAGCGAGCAGCTCCTGAAGCCAGCCAGAGCCAACTGCGCTACCAGACTGGCTCCGGGCTGCTGAGGCTGCCGCTGCCACATTTCCCGGGGACAGATTTGCAAATGTGGGGACATTCCGGGGATGGAATTTGTCTGGGGACAGATTTTTAAATCCAGGGACTGTTCCTGGGAACCAGGGACGTCTGGTAACCCTAAGTTAGAGCAGCCTGGGTCTGGTGGGGGATGCCATTGTTTGAATAGTACTGCACCCAGAGTGGGTACAGCCAGGGGCATTACTAGAGTGTGGCCCAAGTACCAAGCAATGCCCTCAGGTCCAGCCCCAGCCTTTGTTTTCCACTTGCAAGGAAGGTGATTTTTGAAATATGTAATTGACCATTTACTGCCACCCACAACCCAGTCAGAAGCAGCATCGCCTGTTCTTCCACCTCCGATCAAAACCTGAATTGCTGGTGACGGCTTGGAGATCCAGGTATTGCCAGATCTTGGCATTTATGCCATATAAATGGCAACAGCAAAGACAGAACCTTCGCCCCTATGAATGTATTATTATTTGTAGTGGTGGTTTAGAATCATAGAATTGGAGGGTTGGAGAGGGACCAGAAGGATCATATAGTCTATACCCCTGCAATGCAGGAATCAATTCATAATTAAATTTATTTCGTACTTGTTCGCCATGGCAACTTAAAGTGACTTACAATATTTTAAGCAAAAAACAAAAACGTACATACATTAAAACCAGCACTGAGAGGAGGAACAATCTTAAGAGACAATCCTATTTTTAAAAAAACTAGATTAAAACATCCCACTCATGCAAAAAGGCCATAGATAATTAAAAGCCAAAGTCCTGATGAAAAAATAATGTTTTTGCCTGGCACTTGAAGATATGTAATGATGGCGCCAGGTGAGTGTCCTTCATTATAATGTGTGAAGCAAATTATTCTATTCGGAGCATAGAGGTTAAAAATAAATGGGGGGTGGGTGGGGAATATTATCAGAGTATGGTTGCCCTAAAGCTCTCTTTAGCCCAGCCAAAAGTGTCCTCTTCCTGTAACCAAACTTGTCCCTTCACTACCAATGCAATAGCAACCTCTTCTTTCCTTGCCTCCCTCCCTGGTTTTCAAAGAACAGCACATAAACCTTTAATACGCTGCTCTCAGACACACGGAGGCTGCAAAGCACCTGCCCATGTGCAAATCTGAAGAATCAAAGGCATGCCAGGCATTCGCTTGGCTCTCCTCTCTCCCTCTCCAAATCCACTTTGCATTCCTCCATACCCTCCTGTGCTGCATTTTTTCTTTTATAGCGCATCCCTGTAATGCAATAAGTATTGCTATAAACACAACTGCTCTGTGAAAGCAGATAAATTCCATGCCCAGATTATAGCACACACAAGTTGTTGTGTTTAAATACATCTCAGGAGCATTTTTCCTCTCCTTAACCCCCCCCCCCCAGTCATGTTATACAGATCTATGTGGTGGTCGCATGTGAGCTAAATGAAAGAGTTCAGAAATAGATCTCCCTTTGCGAATATCATCGATCAGGTCTTATGGACAGGATTTTGCCGTTCCATACTTTATAGTGGATTCCAGGACAGATCCATTGTTTAGATTCCAGTTCCTGGGAGGGATGCTGGATGTGCTGGGAGAAGGGAGCTAGACTAATGCCAGGCAACAGAGACCCATTCTTACCCGCAGGAGGTGGCAGCCATTAGAAAAATACAAAAAGCACTTGCTCCAAACATTACATAATTGGGCTAACAAACGCATACACTTAAATATATTTGATTCTGTTTACATATTTTTTAACGTACCATTAGCACACTTTAGACCATGGGGTAGCTTCCAGCCCATGCTTCTTCTGCTTAACAATAACGTAAATCCAACCCCAATTACTGGATCTGAACTTTTCACAATCTTGTCCTATCATTCTAAAGGTAAAGGGATCCCTGACCATTAGGTCCAGCTGCAGACGACTCTGGGGTTGTGGCGCTCATCTTGCTTTACTGGCCGAGGGAGCCGGCATACAGCTTCTGGGTCATGTGGCCAGCATGACTAAGCTGCTTCCAGTGAACCAGAGCAGCGCACGGAAACGCTGTTTACTTTCCCGCCAGAGCAGTACCTATTTATCTACTTGCACTTCCTGCTTTTGAACTGCTAGGTTGGCAGGAGCTGGGACCGAGTAACAGGAGCTCACCCCATTGCGGGGATTCAAACCACTGACCTTTTGATCGGCAAGTCCTAGGCTCAGTGTTTTAACCCACAGCGCCACCCGCGTCCCTTAGAGCCCCTCAAAAATGCTATTAAATTAATTGTTTCTATGTGACCCCCTATTTTCCTTTACAATTGCAGTGAGGGGGGTTGGAGCTGCAGCAGATAATAATATCTTTGACCATGACTTATTTGCCATTCCTGTCTTTAGCTTTGTGCTTTTCTGTACCAAAGGACATTGCTGTTGCTGCTGCTCTTATGATAATGATTATCAATATTATTCTGTGACTCTTGTGGTTTTAATTTATTTATTCTATATTATGCTTTCGGGAATAAAACATTTATTTATTTTTTAAATAATATTTATTACTTTTCCAAAAATTTAAACACTAAAAAGACAATACAATACAATACATTAAACTAACAAAACGAAACAAAAACAATAAAATAAATCAAACATTTAATTGCAGTAGAACATTCCTCTTTTTTGCACTTATTCCTCCAAATGTTGATAGTTTTAATTTAGCCCATTTTTCAAAAGATTCTTCCATTATTTTCCTTAAAGAGGTGTGATTATTTCATTATTATTATTTGTATTATTAGTATTTGAGTTTTCTTCCACATGAGTCTGGGCAGTTTACATTTAAAAACAACTTTGAGCTCTTTAAAATAGGTTTGAAAACAGTAAACAAGTGTTTTTGTATTGTTTTAAAGGCTATTTTTAAAGTTTTAAAAATAGCATTGCGAACAGTGCAAAGAATGACAACTAAGAATAGGTTTAAAAACAATACAGAATAAACACCTAAAGGCAGAGGCCTTTTAATTCAGCTGGA